TCTGCAGCAGCTTGTTCTGCTGCTTCAGCTTCGCGATCGCGTCGCTCTCCGTGCGCGTCTCCGCCAGCAGCTTGCTGAACACCTGCAGGTCGATCGACCCCTCCGCGTTCCCCGCCGGCTTCGGCGGCGCCGATTGCGGCGGCGGGGTGGGCTTGACCGTTGGAACGAGCATCAGCGCGTTGTTCGGCCCGGGCTGGATCGAAACTTCCGAAGCCGCCACGGACTGCGCGTCGCTGTTATCCGCCGCGCCTCCCGCCGCGCCTCCCGCCGCGTTGCCCGCCGCGATCGTCGCCGCCACGTCCGGCACCATTGCGCCTTCCGCCGCCAGCCCCGGGAGGTTCCCGAGCCTGCGGCTCAGGCTCGGGTGTTGCCGGCGCGGATCCGAGGACTGGGAGCGCCAAGCGATCTGGCTGGACGCGATTGAAACCGCGTCGCCCATATCCGACTCCGCGTAAGCCGATCTGCGCGGCGCGGCCCCGCCATACCCGGCGGAGCTTCCGCCGTACCCGCCGCTTGCGCCAGGGACTGCGCCTGCGCCTTCCCCGGGGCCCTTGTAGAAACGGTAGGGGGAGCTTTGCGTGCGCCAGGGGGAACCAATTCCGCCAGGGGGAGGGGTCGCCTGAGACGCCGCGTGCGACGCGTGCGACGGGATGTCGTCGGACGACACGAGGCTGCCACGTGTCTGCGTCGCCCATCCAATGCCCGACAGCGAGTCTTCCTTATCCTCCTCCTTATCGTACCCAACGCTGCGAGCGCCGGCGGAGGCGCTGGGCGCGGCGGCGGGAGGAGCAATCATGGCGGAAGACGGAGGCGGCACGTAAGCAGGCCGCGCGGGTGCGGCGGGGGCGGGGCTCGGGCGGGACTGGAGCGACGCGGCTTGCTGCAGCGCAACGGGGGGGCTTCCGCCACCGGCGCTTGGCGCGGTGGGCGCAGGCGCAAACGACACCGTCCGGCGGATCTCCCCCGGCTGACTCGCGGAAAGCGCCACTCCGCGTGAGCCGGCGGTGGCGGGGCGCAAGGGGGTGGCGGAAGGATGCACGGGGGAAGTGGTAGCTGGCGCTCCGCCAGCCCCCCCCGCTGCGGGATGTGCGGGTGACGTCATCAGGCTGGCGCGCGGCGGCATCTCCGACATGCTTCGCGCCATCCCCATTCCCCCAGCGCCCGCCACTCCCGCCCCCGCCACCGCCGCCGCTGGCGCTCTACCCTGACTGCCCGCGGGTTGCTTCGGGCGCACAGCGTCTATCTGCGCAACCTTTGCGCGCGCGTCCTTCAGCGCCGCTTGCAGACGCGCGACCTCCGCCGCCTTGATCTCCTGCTCCGCTGGCGCATCAGCGCGCCTTCCGCGCGCCTCTTTCAGCGCCGCGAACAGCCGTCCAACTTCCGCCTGAGCAGTGCTCAAGTCTTCCGCGGAAACCATGCTGGCCGCGGCGGGCGGGGCCATGGACTGCGCGCGCGCCATTCCCAGCGGCTCCCGCGCGGCTGTTGTTGCGGGCGCGGGCGGCGCGGGCGGCGCGGTCTTGGCGGACCGCTCCATCAGGACGGGATTCTGCGGCGGAAGACCCGCGGAGCCAACGACGGGAGGGCGCATGCCGCCAATAAACTGCGGAGGGGGGGCGGAAATGAAGGGGTGCGGTCATGATTGGGTGTTCCGGGTGGGAAGGAAGGAAAACGGGCGGGAAGGGTGGGAAGGTTGAGGTGGGGGGAAGGGGAGAGGAGTGGGGGAAGAAACTGGGGTTGATAGGAGTGGGGGATTAACGATTGCTGTTTCACACCAACCAATGAGAACGCACCGAGATCTCGTCGTCGTTCTTGTCGTCATCGTCCTCCTCCCCCTCCCGCGCACCTCCCGCCGGGTATTCCGGGATGCTGGCTGGCAGGCTCTCGAGCACGCTACCGACGACGCTGCTGCCGTCCTCCGACTCGTAATCCACCACGTCGATGCGCCACTTGAGCGCCTCGCCGCCAGCGTCTTTCGCGCCGGCTATCGCGTCTGTCACGACTGCTGCTGCGCCATTCGCGGCCGTGTTCTTCGCGGAGCCGTCTGACGTGGCGTTGCCGCCGCTTTCGGCGGCGGCGGCTTCTAAGCCACCCGACATAGTGCCTTGAGAGTAAGGGATTCTGCGGGATTCTGCTCTAAGAAATAAAGAGGGAACCTACAAAAGGTAGTTGGGCCGGCAGGAGAATTCTGCTAACTTGACAAGCTACGTCGCTAATAATCCAAGGTAAACGAGTCCTGTGCTATTACTTAGATCTTAACTTCACTTCACTATCCACCAACAACGGACGCTCTCAACCAACCACACGATCCAGTTTTGCTTGTTCAGTGGATCCACGAAACGAAACCTGCTTCTCGCCGAACCTCAGCTGCTGCTCAACGAAACCCGCCTAGGAAGTAAACCTTCTAGATAATACTTGTGCGTGCTTGGATAAGCCGGAACCCGCAGTCTATCTCGTTTCCCAGGGCTGGCTACGAAGCGCTGGTAAGGGTTCCGCTAGCGAGATGCGATCCTTACAGCCGTTCAAGGCAGTCTAGAGACGTCTGGAGAAATTCTCTCTAGCCTTACCTGACGTCACCAACCTCCTTCCGTGCCTCGCAGTCTCCCGTCACCGTCACGCTCCTGGTCAAGCTAACCCTAATCGCACGATGACTCGCGTCTAACACTCCACGTATCTCATTGCGGAATGACGGGCGCCGGAGCTAAGGTAGCGGCAACAGCTCGTGTGAAAGGGGAAGTGGTGGAGCCATGAACGCGAGTCGCCTCTGCTGTCAAATGTCGCCCAAGTTTGGGTGGCTGACGGGGTGAAACTTGGCAGCAATGAGCGGAAAATCGAGTCGCGAAGACACACATGAATTTCGCAGAGTTACCTGTTGTTTTGTCGACTGTGAGAGTACTCCTTTGATGCGAGTGTCACTCTGCGTGCGAACGATGTGTTATTTTTCGTTAAACGAAATTCAGCTCGCACATGTTTCGCGTTTCCTCCCTGTCCGTGCTGTGCAAAGGGGGACGTGACCAGGCGGAGCCGTGTGGGAAAATGTGCGGTCGCCCGTCACAGTACATCTGGTGCAGAATTTCGTGACTTGGTGACAGCCAATAGGAATGAAGGCTTTGGGCGATGCAGGCGGGAGGGCAGGGCCGTGTAGGCCGCTGCGCCTGGCGAGTCTTCCCGCCACTCGGCTTCGTGCCACGCCAGCGAGGCTCGTAGAAAAAAGCAAAATGAGAGACGCGTAACACTTGCTTGTAAAACACCCCTATACATAATTGACAACTTTATATACGGTACTAGTTCATTCGTTCAAGAGAACTAGCACATCAATGATTTCATTAGAGAGAAAAGGGTTTCATTTCAGAGTAAACATGCAGAAGGAAACCCAAAAAAAAAAAAAAAAAAAAAAAAAAACGTACTGAAAACCCTATGGAATCTCATAAGGTACTTACCATATTCTCCCGGATATAAGACCCTAGGGTCTTATGAAAAAATCAGAGAAAAAAAGGGGGGGGTCTTACCAAAGGCTTAGAAATGTATAGTACCCGGGTCTTATCATATGGACATATTTTTATTAAGTGTGTTTGAATGTTTAGCTGTTGTGGGTGATACAGCATTTTTTTTTATCATGGATAGGACCACGGATGTGCGTATTTCGCTAATCAATCCGGGTGTGGCTTCTCATTGGTCGAAATGGCACATTTAGGGTGATCTACCGTCATCGCCCGGATATAAGACATATATGTCTTATCTCATACACTAAAAAAATGCTTGGGTTATCTTGTATTTTGGGAGGTTTTGGGTGTCTTATAAGTCTTATAAATGGAAACTTTTTTAAACTACTTAGAAATATTTTCACGCATCTTGAAAAGAGTTTCTCATTAAGAGTGTGGATGGTTCAAAGGTGCCACTTCGGCAACCATTGTTCGGGACGCCACGTCATCCCGAATACTTGCAGAGGCAAATTTGGTAGTACGTGAGTCAGCACGTGGCAGAATTCGCGTGTCGCAAGGGTAAATATGTACGCGGCATTTCAATTTTCACTACAATACATGCAGTTTCGATTATAAGACACATATGTCTTATCTCGTACACACAAATAGGTGTCGTATAAAAAGGCTAGCCTGTTTATAAGAGACACCCGTATAATAGACAACCCCTGTCTACTATTCAACACTGTCTTATATCCGGGCGATGACGGTAGCGTTACATGGCAAGATTCCTTGCCTTGTCATCGTGCATTCCAACCTTAGCGGTCTAGAACATGCACGACTCGCGAGCATGGGCTGCACGAGAGACCTTGGAGCGGCCCCCACGGTTTTGGGTGGCGCACGTCAACGTCACAACTGCACCATGCCTTCTGCTCTGACTGATTCTTCATCTGTGCACGAAGCTGCTTTCTGCTCGGCAGACTCTTTGTGCATTCCCCCGAACCGCAGATGGTCGTTGAAGGCTTGCGACGGCCAGTATCTAGGCTCGGGGGGGTCTAGTAATGTTACCCCCTCAAGGGGGGGGTATAGTGGAAACCTGCCAAAATAAAAGACCCACCCCCGTATTACAGACCCGGGGGTCTTGTTTTCCGGGGGGTCTTATATCCGGGAGAATACGGTATTTTTGTCCCCTCCCACAAAACCCAGGATTTCAACCCTACAGGTTATTAGCAGTAAGGTACGTGCAAAACACAGAGCCCTCAATTAGCTTCTGTTCACACTCAGGATGCGGTTTGGTTGTCTTTCACCTTAGTGGCATATTCCACAAAACGGTCCATATCTGCCTGAATAATGCTCTCCACTAAAGGGTTTAGGCTCTGCAACAGGGAAGGATGGAAGAGTGGACCAATAGTAGCACCAAATGACGAGTTAATGAATCGGTCATATTTCTTACAGCTCACATCCACGTAGATTATGATGCATATGCAAATAACATACCGCCAGAACAGGGACGAGAATGTCAGGGCACTGGTAGGTCAGAGTCATCTGTGACAGTGGGACACAAAGGCAGTTTCAAGATGTAACTTAGCAGTTCCAACCAGCAGTGTTACAAAACAGTGACACCCAGCAATCTCCCACATCCCCCCTCCTCACCTCCACCTTGCAGCCATTGGTCCCTCTGGGGAAGAACCGCACAGCTCCTCTGCAACAATGGTTGTAATGGTGGTGATGTTAGCGAGTGAGGATGTGATGAGGTGAGATGGTAGAGGATACAAGGAGAGCAGTGAAGGCCGAGTCGTATTTTGGCAAGTCCAAGACAATGGAGAAAGGGGAATGCAGGAGGGAGAATGCAGGAGGGAGAATGCAGGAAGAAGGCAGTGGTAGTGAAGAGAAGCTGGAATGAGGAACAGGAGCCGGACAGCATAACTGGGTGTGTAGGAAGAGGAGCGTGATCCCTTCTTGCTTACCATGTCCTGCACCTCTTTTCCTGATGCAATCATGTGCTATCGCAACGCACGTCCTACTGCAACGCATGTCCTACTGCAATGCATGGACTACTGCAATGCATGGACTACTGCAATGCATGGACTACTGCAATGCATGGACTACTGCAATGCATGGACTACTGCAATGCATGGACACCTGCAATGCATGGACTACTGCAATGCATGTGCATATGTGTGTTACCTATTAGGGACCCCATCCACTGAGCGCCACTGAATTTTCTGATTTGCGATGGGCTGGGGGAATACACAGGGATTGGGGAATGGGAGAAAAAAGAGGGAACATTTCGGTTGAGAAGCACTCATGCTATTTCATAATGGGCTGGGGATATGCACAGGGAGGGGGAGTCCAGGGGAAGAGGCGGATTGAATGAAACAGCTGAACTTGTACTGAGTCGGCTTACGGTGAGTTGCTTGGAGAGCCACGAGAACTCCAGATCGCGTCCAAATGCAGTGTATTTGAGGGTCCACTCAGAGAACTCCGGGGTCTCTTGGAGCACCTGATGACGTGGCAGAGGCAACATGTGAGCTGGCATGTGTGCACCTGATAAGGGGAATCCATGGCATGAATAGCTTGACATGTACTGTAACATGGAAGGAAATGGTGTGCTACAAAGGAATAGTGATAATAACGAAGTCTTGTCTTTGAGAGTTTGATTTGGTGGCAGGGAATTCTCAGACAGGGAGTAAGAGACACCTTCACCGCTTTCAACCCACCTTAACCGAGGTGATCCATGGCATCCAGTTGGGAACGAGCTCGCGATCTGACCAGAGGTCGTAGGCCAATGAGAGGGGAATGTTGGGCGCGTCAGCCACTGCTCTGACGCCACGTGGATTCACGAGCGACCATTTGTGAGCACAGATGGCAAAGAACGTCGTGTGAGACGGGGGATGAGAATGTGATGGTAACAACGAGATACAAACTCATAATACGTGTAAAGAACATAAATATGACCACGCGATTTGAGAGAATGCTGCTGACACGCAAATGCAGACGCAAGGGTCGCGGTGTATCGCAATGTCGAGGTGGGTCGCAGCGTCGCACAACACGTAAATTAGTATTTCGGTCCGCTCCAAGCCAACATCACTCACTTGCATTCAAGCCACGTGGCAGAAATTAGCAGGCGCTCACGCCGCGAGATCTTGTCACGTGGGAAAACGTCTATAGCGGAGGCCGGGGAAGAAGCTAATCTCTTTAGCGGTGATCCTACAAACGCGGACGACATCCTGCGACAGACACTCGCGCCATTCGGGATACACTGCTTTTTAAACGCCGTAAAAGCAACGGTGGGCTTACGATCTAGTGCAACTGCCCTAAAAGTCGTTGCATCTACCCGCGCGACGCGCGTTGGAATGTGCGCCACCGCCATTACCGGCAATGGCGGAAAAAACAATGCTGATAAATCCAGACTGCTGATGTTGAATGCGTGCTGCTGAGCTCAATGCTCACAATATGTAGCGAGCGCCACGGAGGCAAATTGGCCTCTGCGGTATTGACAGCACCACTAATGTGCCTTGGTTAGATTATATATTGAGCAGAAAAGAACCGAGATGCCATTTTTTACATGACATACAGCAAAGGAAAGGGCAGGCTGAGAGCATCAGTCTAGAATCCTACACGTACAGGGAGTGAAGCAATTGTGTCACGCTTATACGGAATAATGCTCTGATAAATAGGCACACTAAAAGACATTGCTACGCTTCCATACCTGGATCTCATCCTACATGAGTGTACACCCACTATACTAAAACACTACACAGATTTGTGTTGAGGTAGCATCAATTTGTGTTCATGACTGGACCGGAAGGAGAATAGGGCCACCAGGATTATGTGAGAAGATTGACTCGTGGCTGTCTATAAGCACCATAATTGCCTCCACTATTGCTGTTTGTGCTTGCGTTGGTTCCTCTTCCAAAGGGATCTCTGCACAACAACCAACGCACAAACGCACGGTAAGAGGCAAGATACGGTACACACAAAGTGGTATCTCACCGTTCACTGGTGTACTTCATACAGATGTTATGATTTGGATTTGGGGTTACGTCATGACATATGGTCTCACATACACACAGAATACCAACCACTGCATATGCAGTGGGTAAGCATTGCATAAGCAGTGGATACGCAGCTGATAATCTAAACCAGGAGAGTGTATGTGCCAGCTCACCAGGAACAGAAGATTCTCCGTTTGCCTCCACGACTGCTGGCCCAGCAGAAACAGTGGCAGCAGCAGCAGCAGCACTCCCTCCATCCCCCACTCGCATTCCCTTCTCACTCTGTGCCCTCCTCATAGCCGGACTAGCCATAGCATCCCCACCACCACCACCACCTCCACCACCACCAGAACCAGAACCACCAGCAGCAGCAGCAGAAGCAGCGCTGCCCTTGGGAGTCAAAGCAGGAGGGGAGGAAGGTGCCATTAGACTAGGCACATCGTCACTCACTCTCCCACTACCACCACCAGCACCACCACCTCCCGTGCTCTTGCTAATGCTGCTGCCATCCATCCCTCTGCTACCGTCCCCTCCATCCCCTGCTGCTGCTGCTGCACCTGCTCCTGCGCCTTCCCTGGTTTCGTCTAGACTTAAGGAGGAGAGAGAGGGGGAGCGGGCGGTTGAGGAAGGGGGCTTGGAGGAAGGGGAGGAGTCGAAGGGGCCAGAGGCGGAGGAGGCGTGGGGGGAGGGGGAGGGGGATGGGGAGGGGGACGGGGGGACCTCTGGTCGCGGCCAGAGCAGGACGGGGGCGAATTCGGCTGCTAGGCTTTGAGCGTCCATCTGGGGGAACGGGAGGGCGCACGGAGGGAAGGAGTGCTTTAAGGGGCGTTTTATTAGCTGCAACATGGAGACTAGCACCCCAACCTACAGCCAACCTTCAAAGCCTTCTCAACCCACCCCTCACCTTGTTCACATCAGCGTGCAGGCTGACTCCGTACTGCAGGCACAGCACAGCATGCAGCGTCTCGAGATTCACAGGCGGTAGCATGTGCAGTAGTTGCCTGAGCTTAACCCGAGGCCAGCACACACCCAAACCCCTCTCAGAATCCCCCACACCCCTCCTCACCTTGTTCATATCAGCGTGCAAGCTGACTCGGTACAGCAGGCACAGCACAGCATGTAGCGTCTCGAGGTTCACAGACGGCAGCGTGTGCAGCAGGCGCCTGAGCTGCGTGTCGCTGCTAGTACACACCCAACCCCCACTTAACCCTCAGAACCCCCCCACACCCCTCCTCACCTTGTTCACATCAGCATGCAAGCTGACTCGGTACAGCAGGCACGGCACAGCATGTAGCGTCTCGAGGTTCACAGACGGCAGCGTGTGCAGCAGGCGCCTGAGCTGCGTGTCGCTGCTAGTACACACCCAACCCCCACTTAACCCTCAGAACCCCCCCACACCCCTCCTCACCTTGTTCACATCAGCGTGAAAGCTGACTCGGTACAGCAGGCACAGCACAGCATGTAGCGTCTCGAGGTTCACAGACGGCAGCGTGTGCAGCAGGCGCCTGAGCTGCGTGTCGCTGCTAGTACACACCCAACCCCCACTTAACCCTCAGAACCCCCCCACACCCCTCCTCACCTTGTTCACATCAGCGTGCAAGCTGACTCGGTACAGCAGGCACAGCACAGCATGTAGCGTCTCGAGGTTCACAGACGGCAGCGTGTGCAGCAGGCGCCTGAGCTGCGTGTCGCTGCTAGTACACACCCAACCCCCACTTAACCCTCAGAACCCCCCCACACCCCTCCTCACCTTGTTCACATCAGCGTGCAAGCTAACTCGGTACAGCAGGCACAGCACAGCATGCAGCGTCTCAAGATTCACAGCAGGTAGCGTGTGCAGCAGGCGCCTGAGCTGCGTGACGTCGCTGCTGCCGACAGTGGCGACCCCGGAGAAGAGGGAGAAGGTCATGAGAGGCTCGGGGAGGCACTTGAGATAGACTAGCAGCAGCTGCCCCACGTCCAGCGGACTGGTATCCGAAGGGATGTCTGCATTGGGGTCTGGTTTTGGAAAGGACGGGTGGGAAGGAGGGAGGGAAAGTGGGGAAAGAGCGAGAGGGGGGAGAGTGGAACAGGGTTAAGTTGCTGGAAGGTTGTAAAAGGGAAATAGTCTACCAAGTGAAGGCTATGAAAGGGCATCTGAAGGTGCATCACTGCTGCCGACGGTGGTGACGCCAGGGAAGAGGGAGAAGGTCATGAGAGGCTCGGGGAGGCACTTGAGATATACAAGCAGCAGCTGCCCCACGTCTAGCGGACTGGCGTCTGGCGGGGTTTCCGCGTTGGGATCTGGTAGGTGGGGAGGTGCAGTGGAGGGGAGAAGGGGAGAGGTGTGGGGTTTGCTTGAGACTGCTTGTAGAATAATTGCCCCTGGGAGTTTGAGGGACTCAGGGATTGAGACACATGGGAGCCAGGGCGAACGCTTAGAAGAAATTCCGGTTCGGAGAGGAAACCCTTTGCATGAACAAGTTTTCTGTACGGAGCCTTCAGATTTCGATGACCAGCATTAAGATGACTTCCGAGTGCATTCAGATCTTTTTGAACTGTGCCGTTGCTCTCTCATTGGTCACACATGGCTCACTCCTTGCTCACTCACTGCCCACCCGTTGCTCACTCATGGCTCACTCATGGCTCACCAGTATCGAACATGTGCATGAGCCCTTTGACCACACGCGAATCGTTCTCCGACTCGAACAAGTACTCCGTAACCAAGCCTGGTGGTAACCACACATGTGCAACAGGGAACAAGGGACAGCTTAGTACATCAATATAAAAAATTATGTCAAAATGACACCGCAGATCCAAGGCGTGAAAGAGACGTCTCGAAACTCGGTGACGATCGAAACATCTAAGAGCACATGGGTAACAACACGTAGCATTGGTAAGAGCAGTGAACAGAATGCAACCCAGCGCACCATTCTGCAGGATGAAGTTGCAGCACTGGACGACCACGAATGGCACGGCTGTGCCTTTGAGTCGACTCAAAAGCAGACTCACTACATGCGGCTTTTCAGTCGACTCACACGGGCATACAACGCAACACACCATTTTGCAGGATGAAGTTGCAGCACTGGATGACCACGAAGGGCACGGCTGTGCCCCGCTGCCTGCTCGCAAATGCATCCAAGGGTGTGCCAAACACTGCCAACGAGTAAAGGGAGCACAGGGATAGCAGAGTTCACGAGGACCGCGACCATTTGTAGAATTCTCAAAATATGCCTTTAAGGGCGCTTGAAAAAGGCCTTCAGGGGAATGCTAGACACTGCCAATGGGTAAGTAGAGTAGCCGGCTCCTTGCAAAGGCAAGAACATAGGCAGATGGGCATCCTTGCAGGAAATTACAGAACAGCATATTCAGGGGCGAGAACGTGGAATCATTCGAACAGGGCACGAAGGTGGAAGGGACAACCAGAGCCAAAGCACGGGTGGTACTAGTAGTGATCAGAACAGCATGGGACGAAAGTAGAAAGGTAAAGACTATAGGAGAATAAGCATGCGTCACCTAGTGTGGCGTCACCTGGAGCTCCGGGCCGGCCCTGGTACAGACGGGAATGCGTTTGTGCGTGCATGCATGACAGGTGCGAATGGCCGGGAGAGAGGGATTGTGGAAAAAGAGAGAGAAGGATGTTTTGGGAGAATGGGGCGATTAGAGAACCAGCAGAGAGAGTGAGAGTGGGATAGAGAACGAGGCAGGCAACAGTGGGGCATGATCAGAACAGAATGGAATGTAAACGGACGAGTTCCAGTTGTGCGTGCAAGTGGCTATCTGAATACATGCATGTTTGCATGTGCTTGTGGTCATGACAGAGGGAGAGGATCATTGAGCAAGGGAGAGGGGATTTAAAAATTCGGGGGGAATGTGGGGGGTGGGGAGAGGATGCGCACAGAGTGAGTGCTTACCCTCCGCCAGTCCACCTTCTGGAGAAGCCCCTTGCTTCTCTCCATGCCATTTGCCGTCAGCTGGGGTCATGGGTGCCAACAGGTTCAAATGCAGAACAAACGCATATGCATGGGTTAATGCAATGAGCTAAGTTCCTGGAGACAAAATGCTGTGAGTAAGACGGAGCACGAGGAGATCGAGAGCAAGCACAGAAAAGTTGGACGGTAACCATAGATTCAACGGGGATATGGTTTATGCCAATGTACGGCAAAAAGTAAAGAATGCTGAGGGCGACAAGTTAGCTACAAGACTCGCAAGTCTGACTTGGATCAGAATCTATCAGGTAGATATGGCGTAAGACAATCAATCGGACATGCTTGACACTGAGCGAACTCTGAGCATTGTGCCTCAGCAATTCCAGTCTGAGAGAGCGTCACTGCGGGGTCCATATCGATGAAACCTGTGGTTCCCTCCTCTAAGCCCCCTCTCATCAATCCTTGATTCTCTGACTCTCACAACCGCTCCACCCAGGATCCCCTTATGAACATCTCGCATCTGAGAAATCTTCACATTAACGATCTCGCTTCTTTTGAGAACCTCTCCCCAGTGAGCCTACATACCTCAGTGAGCTGTTGACCGACGCGACTGGCCTTGACTTTCTCCGTCGTCTCCATCAGCCCCTGCTTCAGCATCGATCCGGTGTCAGCCGCCACGCGAGCCGTCGTTTCCAGCCCGGCCTCCATTCTCGGAAGCACTTTCGTGTTCCAGCTCTCCTTGGTCGACTCCCACGTGGTGTGCATTCGCGATTTCGCTCCTTCCGCTGCGACGGCTGCGCGAGTCGCCGCCTCTGCGACTTTCGGCTGCACGTTCTGCTGCCATGAGGTCTTCACCTTGGATCCTGCTTCGCCAGCAGCGCCTGCGACGGCTGATCCCGCTGCTTTCAGCTTGAAAGCTGTGAAAGAGTTTCCGATGTCCCGTGGGAAAGAAATAAGGAAGATTGAAAAGAGAAATGTATCTCAATACCAAGATTCGCTGCTCAGAGCAAGGCCTTCGACATGTGAGTTAAAAGACCGAGAAATAACTGAAAGGAATCGCAATGCTTAAGACGAAGCTCATGAAAGAAAAATTCCAGGCGTTTCGTTGATCACATTTTAAGGATGCCGCTGACGAACTGTATGCGATCGTACCAATCGACATTATCCTCAATGCGGGAAACACACTTACAGGAAGAGGATATGAAAGCCCCTGCCTTTTCCCGCCAACCAGGAGCTTCTTGATCCGCCATCTGGCCTCGTGTCTAGAAACCAATCACGGTACAAGGAACCAAGCGACCGCTGTATTTCAGCGGACAAATCTCAAATGGCTATATCACAGACGCCATTCGGATTTATAAGCTAATTTGTCAGTATACGAACAGATCCGTTTTTGTGGGAGAGCTAGAGTCTAACAGCTGCTAGCATCAAAAGGAGGCCAGCAGTAGATATTCCTGGTAAACGCGCTTACGCAATGAATGCAGCCGTGACTTTATTATGCTGAAGTGATGGCAAAGTGGAGATGCTTACTCAACCTAGACCTTGCCAAGGATTTGGAATCTGCAGAGAATAGGGAACGGAGCATATCACACATAACATCAGCAGCTCATTATCATCGCTGAAACAAAACCCCTCCAACCGTTCTTCAACGCATAAAATCTCACCGAACTGTATTATAGTGAACTCTTCCGACACCCCAACCAGCAAATGGAGAAAAGTGGGTTGGTTGGTGAATGGGAAGCGGTGGCGATGGAATCGAGGAAAGGATTCTACAGCAGATGTGCTGGTTGGGAGACGCAGATGTGCGATAATGGAATTTCTTTGGACCCTGAAAGCATGGAGCTGAACGGTCCGTCCTGGAGATCTGCTGGGAAAGGGAGGGATCGACGAGCCCAAGGATGACCCTGTAACGAGCGCTAGCACCCAACAGAAATCCGTAAAATGAAAAACAAACATAAACCTTATATGCCCCATCATTTCTAAGGTGTAATCCGTTACCTTTTTTCACGTGTGAAAATTCTCGAATTCAATCGGGGACAGCTCTTGTTGAATTCGCAGCGGGGCGAGTCACAGAGCATTCACCTCGAGAACCGTGTCTTGGGAATGTCGCTCATTTCGTTGTGTTGGTGTGTTTCTGAGAACAGCTTGGTGGATGACGGTGTTTCTGTTCATGGATAAGTGAAGAGTGGCTTCGTTGACGCTGATCGCTATTTTATTCATTGCGGCGATCCGAATCCATCTCTGATCAGTAAATCGATTATTGCTCCATAAGAAGTCGAACCATCATGTTCGCAAGGCGCCCTTCGTGAGAATAAGCTTTGAAAGAACTGGATCACGTGTCTCTAGTTGTTTCAACCTGTTCTGGATTTCGGACTGAATGCTACAATAGTCCCGACAATGGAACGCCGAATTCGCAAAGACTCCGGAGGTGCCGCTCTCACACCAGCATCATCTGATCTCCATTCGCGTGGAGAAAACGGAAACAACGATGACAATAGTAGAATGAAAAAGGCAGCAGGTTCTGGAACCACGAGCAGCCATGGATGGATCTGGATGTCCATGCTGGCGACGCTGTACGGCCTGCAGCCTGTGATCATGCGGAAATGCCTAAGGTAGCTGTCCTCCCGCTCTTGACACATGGCGAATCTTGACCGCTGTAGGTGTTTCCGCTGTTAGATCTGGATATCCATTCTGATAATGCCATGTGATCATGTGAAGAAGCATTATATGGTACTTGTCGAGCTGTTCCGGACGCCTCGCGCGAGATATTCGCGTCATATCAAGCTTCTCATGAAATGCACGCACGAGCTCTTGCCTTGTACTGACTACTACATCTGACTCCTCGTGCTTCTGATGTCTTACAAACCCACAAGACAGTGCTGACGTCATCATCGTCAGCCAAGTTATGGCTGTCGACGTCGCCAAGGTGGGATACGTAAAGTCCACTTCACTCTGGTGCTTTCTCCTGTGCTTTCTCCATGCCATGTTTTGGTGCTGCGGTTCAGTTCAGCTCAGCGTTACAATATACGGTTCAGTTCAGCGTCAGCATCACTAACCCACGTCCTTTGTCGCTTCCAATCTCCATACAGATCATCTGTTCGCTTGCTGTAGTGCTTCTTGACGGATCAGGCTGGCGGTTATGGCGCAGCTGGCGGATAAGGGAGTTCCTACAAGGCTCCATGGTGCCAGCGTTCGTGTACACGGTGCAGAACGTGCTTATCAACATTGCTTATCGCCACCTGCACCCGGTCACCTTCGCCATGCTGTCCCAGACGAAGCTTCTCTTCACCGCCCTTTTCAATTTCATATTCCTCAGGTGACATTCATGTAATGTCTGCTCAGCTCAGGCCAGTGATTGCACTCTTATCCAGATACCTTCCATATTACTACAGCAGATTTCTTGCAGCCTCGTCAATGGATGTTCCTTGCTTTCGCAGGTGTCTCCTCATTCGTCAGGTTGTACCTCGGGTGGATCGTGAAAGTACTTCAAGTAGGAGTAGATGTAAGTGTATCTTTCCGCACACTATCCTCTCAACCAATGACCGTTGTCCCACACACATGCTCACATCTCTTTCTGCAGGCAGAAGCAGTCCGTCCGGCAGGTGCTGGCCCTGCTCACCATGCTCGTAGCAGCTGTTCTCCTCTCCATTGCCGACCATGTGCAGCTCTCCCTCTCCCTGGGGGGAAGCGAGAAGGAGGGCTCGCGAGATGGAGACGGGAAAGTAGGGACGGAGGAGGCCGGGAGCAGCAAGGCTAGTGCAGGTGGAGGGAGTGGAGGGTTGACGGAGAGTCTAGCAGCATCGGTGTTGTTTGGTGCGATTCCCATGCTGGCAGCATCTGTCACGTCTGGGTTTGGGTCTATGTACTGCCAGTGGGTCTCCCAGGTACGTCTAACTCCTCCTCCTCATAGCGTTTGACCTCCTCCTTTTTAATTCTCCGCTGAAGTATTTTCGACTTGCTCCACAGGTGAAGGCCTGCAGAAGTTCTCACCATATGCCGTAGAGATTTGTCATCGCGTTCTTGAACCTTTTCTGCTTCTCCACCTCCTTTGATGATGTCTGTCCCCCATCTTCCGTCTGTATTCTTCTCCATCCTCTCATGTCAGGTGAAGGGCCGCAGCTCCTACCTCATGACCATCGAGATGTCCTCCTTCAGCTTCTGCCTTCTCCTCTTCTAATCTCTGCCTCCTCTTCTCCTCTCTGCCTCTCTTCCTCACCCCCCCCTCCCTTCCCGTTCTCTCATCTCCCACAGGTGAAGGGCCGCAGCTCCTACCTGATGACCATCGAGATGTCCTCCTTCAGCTTCTGCCTGCTCCTCGCCTCGCTCCTGCTGCTGCCATCATCGCACGATGCTGCACGCATGAGGGAACTAGGATTCTTCCACGCCTGGACCCTCCTCTCCACGGTATGTACTGCTCAACTGCTTCCAAATACATTATAATGCTGCCTGCTCCTCGCCTCTCTCCTGCTCCTGCCCTCATCACACGACGCTGCGCGCATGACGCAGCTGGGTTTCTTCCACGCCTGGACCCTCCTCTCAGCAGTACATTTCTTTCGTCTGCTTCGCAAGACCTAGCATTGCTCGGACGTCCCAAGCCTTCTGAGTCAAACTAGATGTCACTTGTGCATGAGGCATGAACTTCATCGAATATTTCCAGTGCTCTACCGTATGTTTCTTTTCCCAATCCTCCGTGTCATTCACATGAATCGCTTGTGATTCCAGCTCAACTTCTTACACCCTCCCTTTCCGCAGGTGCCCATATTGACCAACGCACTGGCAGGCATTCTCGTGGGGGTGGTGGTGCAGGTGTCTGGGGGACTCAAGAAGGTACGCGAGAGTGCATGCATGCTCATTCTGCATGCATGTGTCTGGGGGACTCAAGAAGGTATGTAAGACACGCTGTGTGGGCGGGTTCTGAGACATATCGGAACAGGTACCTTTGTGATGAACATAGCGTTGCTCATGACAGCTTTGGGACTTCTCGAACCTCCTCTCCCCCCTTACTTCCATTCTCAATGGCTGTACCGTGATTATCATATCACTGCTAATGGTGCTAAAGGGCGTGATAGACATCTTTGTCCTCGTATCTATCTCTCCCTCGCCCCCCACCCAATTCGCCAGGGCTTCGTGATGATAATAGCGCTGCTGGTGACGGCAGCAGCTCAGCTTCTCCTGGAAGGCGAGCCTCCCCCGCTGCTTGTGTGGGTCGCATTCCCCTTGGTAGTGGCCAGCACTCACGTGCATGCAGCATACCGATATGTGGAGAGGAAGGATTCAGATCGAAGGAAGGCAGAGTAGAGGATTCAATGCTTCCCTGGTACGAACAGCTCTTTCCTCCATGGTTCTGATGGTGCATCCCCCATGGTAGTGGCCAGCTCTCACATGCATGTGGCATACCCATACGTGTAGAGGAAGGGGATGGGTGGGGAGGAGGATTCAGACCAGGAGAAGACAAAGAAAGAGGTGACTCTCCTTCCCTGTTGGTATGGACAGGGCAGTGTTATTTTCCATGGTAGTGCAGTGGGTGACCTTTCCCGGGGTAGATAGACAGACACTGGAGGTGTCCCCCCTGGTATGGTACTAGTATAAATAGACCCGGATATGCATTAACTATTTATTACCTTGGTTGGACCATTGAATCTCTTGCGATGCGACTACCAGCTCTTGCGTAGTTTGTCAAGCCTGTTGATTTTTGTCCGCATGCAGAAGGCTTGTGAACCTGTTCTTCCTCACCAGATTTCAGCAAAGCTAGACAGCCAGAGGCGAATTTGCCAATGTACATGTAGGTAGCAGCAATAAAGCGGCCGCACCGCATGCACTGTGTTGCGTTGTCCCAAGGCTGTCAGTCACACGGACTGTGACGGATGAAAATTGCCAGCGGCGCGATCCGACGACTAAGATTGGACGAATGCTAGATGAAACTATTACTGGGGCAAGCAAGCACAGTTGGATGTTGAGACACGAGGACTTGTTTTCTGAAGTTCTTGGGCTGAGTACTTCTCTGTTCAGGGCATGGGGAGGGAGAGATGGGGGGTGAGAGAAAGGGAGGTGAGGGGTGCGGTGGGGAGATGCAGGGAGAGCGGAGGGAAGATGAGGGGTGAGTGGGGGGAGGATGAGGAGAGCTAGGGAAAAATGAGGGACGAGTGAAGGGGGGAATGCAGCAGTGAGAGGTGGAGAAATAAGAGAAAGAAAGGAAATGAGGGGTGAACGGGGAAGAGGAAGGGGGGGGGGGGAGAGATGAGAGGAGAGCGGAGTGGAAATGTGGTAACAAGATGCGACAAAAGCGGGGAGGGAAAGGGGGGGGAGTTACCGAGGAAAGAGCGCGGGGCATTGAGCGAAGGGGAGATGAGGTGTGAGCGGTAAGGATACGCAATGAGAGCGGGGAAAAGAGAGGGGAGGGGGAAAGGGGGGGGGGGGGGGGGGGAGGGGGGGGGGGGAAGAGGGGGGGGGGGGGAGAGGAGATAGGGCGGAGGGAGGGTAAGATGGGGAGAATTGAGTGAAGAACAGAGGAGACATGAACGGTGAGTGGTAAGGAGATGAGATGGGGAATAGAGCTGGGGGGAGGGGGGGGGGGAGGAGAGGGAGGGGGAAGATGGGGAGAAGTGAACTAAGAACAGAGGGGATGAGCGGTACGGAGATGGGGACGGAGCGGACGAGCGGGGGGAACGAGGGGAGAGCGGAAGAAGATGAAAAATGCCCTCCCCACCCAACCACACCACCAAAATCCGCCACCCCCCCTCTTCTCTCCCCCGTTTCCCCCCCTTTACCCTCGCCCCAAACATCCCTTACTGTTCTCCTTACCGTTTTTTACGTCTTGCGGCGTATCCGTCCGGTTCAGTCCGGTTCAAAGTGCCTTGTCTTGATCACCCAAGGACATCGAATGGGCGCCGAAGATACTGACGCGTTCGCATGGTATTCGCTAACGGAACTACTGATTTTGTGTCCGTCCGCCATTTAATCCGTCCGCCAGTTTATCCGTCCGCCATTAAAACCGTCCGCCGTTGAATATGTCCGCAAACAAGAGTTCCTACTCAGGCCGCAATCCATAATCTGAACAGAGATCATACTCTGGCTACAATACGAACATCTGACGCACGACAGTGGCGATACCCACTTGAAGCTACGCGGAGCGGCGAAAATTCATTTACGGCTAATAAACGCGACTGACACTATCTACGGCGCCAAGCCCTAGTTTTACGCTTAGATCTGAGAAGCCACGCGGGATGAAAACCAGAGAAGCGATGGTAAGACTTAGATCTAACAGCGATTGGAAACCTAGAAACTAGAAACGACGGTAAAGAGAGGTGCATCACGGAAAGGAACTCAAGGTGATGTGAGGAGGTCGATATGGTAAAGCACGGTGGTGGTTGGGTGACGGACCAAACCAACCTCATTTCCTATTGGCTCACAGATTTTTATCCCAACCACACCTCGTTATTTCAGATGCCCGAACCAAGCAGCGAAGTGAGTTGTGAGCAGCTAATCTTACTGACAGCTCAGCAGAAAAATGTTTATCGACCAGCTCCTTCCTATACCCTCCCCGCACCTCACGCGAAACTAACCAAGTACTGCCACGTCAGAATTCTCTTAGAAACGTTCATTCCCACCCTTCCCCACAGCAAAACTTAAGTAGAGTACACACGATGACTCGTTATCTAGCACAAAGCGAACCAAACAAACCCTCTAGCTTATATTGAGAGTGTTCTGATTGTTTAGGTTAGAGTTTGGATGTGTTGTGCACTGTACACAATTCAGTCGCCACAGCTTACCGCGGATACAACTCTCCAAAACCATCCATTCGATTCAGATCACGGTTCTGAAGTCTGGACACCATCTGAAGTGTGGACACTTTGGTAGCAATGAACACGTCTGATTGGCTGCCATGCTCCAAGATTTCTCGCAACTTGTGTAATGACCAATGATCGGGTGTGTTTACACGTCACTGAGGGAAGATTTTGGTTGATGGTGTCCAAGCTTCGCCCAGAACCGCGACCTCAAACTCTGGCACTTCTCCCCGCCAGCACTCTGGCACTTCTCCCCGCCTGCACTCTGGCATAGACGGAGCAGCCGTGTCGCACCTCGCTGCAGCCAGCAACTCATCGCGTTTGAAACTAAGGCATGCTCTGCCGCGCGTGGCGGCCATGGTGGTTCTGAATCGATTTTTGTTTTTTTACACAAGAGTCGTGAACAGCATAAAATACGTTCTAATCATTCTATTTGATCAAACATCATGTTTCTAAAAAGCAAGCATAAAATACAAGTCATACACATTGTAAAAAGTAAGCATCACTATGTGCTCAACTACTCCATCCGCAGAACCGCAGCGCCAAGTGTTCAGAGACTCCATTTCCAGAACCGCAGCGCCAAGTCTTCAGAAACTCCATTTGCAGAACCGCAGCGCCAAGTGTTCAGAAACTCCATTTGCAGAACCGCGGCGCCAAGTTTTCAGAAACTCCATTTGCAGAACCGCTGCGCCAAGTGTTGAACCGCTGCGCCAAGTGTTGAACCGCTGCAACTCCATATGCAGAACCGCGCCGCCGCTTGAACTGTTGTCATGTCTTCTCACTTACCATTGACCCCTCTTGGCCGCTAGAGGCAAATGCCTCTAGCGTTACACCCGAACACCACGTTGAGGTGAGGGCCATTCGTTCGGGACACCTGTTGGGAGGGGAGGGATGGCAGGGAGGGATGGTTGGGAGGAACGGGTTGATTGCACTGAATGAGGAAGGTTAGAGCTTGATTGGGTGAAAACGCCTCAGGAAGGAAGCATCTTCTGTTGTCAGGTTGTCACGTTGTCAGGTTGAGCAGCGGTGAAGGTGGCGGTCTGAGGAGGAGGAGGAGGTATCCGGCCAAACCCAACCACTCCCCCCGACTCTAGCTCCCTTAATCTACCCAACCACCCGGACTCTAGCTCCCTTAATCTACCCAACCACCCGGACTCTAGCTCCCACCAGCTCCCAGATCGTGAGCCGTTGGATCTTCACGCTGAACATGGGAGGGGTAATGGGGGAGGGGGAGAGGGGGAGGGGTGGAAAGGGGGAATGAATGGGAGGGGGAAGTAGTCAAACTGCCGCCGATCGTCGCCGCGCCGCCGCCTCTCTGCTCCGTCGCACCGCCGTCGCTGCGCGTCACCGTCGCGCCGCCGTCGCTTTCTCTGCTCCTCGCGGATCCTGCTACAAGGGCAAACGAAATGAGTTAGTACGAGTGAAGTAAAAAAACTAGTAAAACTGAAACGACACCTCACCTTAAAAGTTGCTGACGCCGTCCCCGCTCCCGTCCCGTTCCCGCTCATGTTCCTGCTACAAAGGCAAGCAAAAAAGTTAGTTTGAAGTAATGAAAAATAATCATAACTGAAACGACACCTCACCATGATGGTAGGTTGCAGCCGCTCCTCCGCTCCAGCTCCCAACTCGGATCCTTCTCCTGCTACAAGGGCAAGCGAAGAAGTTAGTACGAAGTAATGAAAAAAAACATTATAACTGAAACGACACCTCACCATGATGGTAGGTTGCTGCCGTTCCCGCTCCCGCTCCCGTTCCCGTTCGTGCTCTTGTTCCTGCTACATGGGCAAGCAGAGAATGTTAGAATGAAGCAATGAAAAAACAATTATAACTGAAACGACAACTTACCATGATAAACTTTGCTGCCGTTCCCGCTCCAGCTCCCGCTACTGCTCCTGCTACAAGGTCAAACAGAAACTGTTAGTGATTTTGAAGAAACGTTTCAAGTAAATCGAAATAACACCTTACCAGGGAGGGTGGTTGAAGAAGTGCCGCCAACCGCCGTGCGAAGGGCCGCGCGACGAGAGAAGCGTCGCCAACCGCCGAGCGACGAGAGAAGGGTCGCCGACCGCCGAGCGACGGGAGAAGGGTCGCCAACCGCCGAACGAAGCGCCGTGCCAATCGCCGTGAGGTGGGAGAGGCGTCGCCAAGAGCCGCGACAATGGCCGCTCCACGGAAGAAGAAACGCCGCTAGTCGCCGTGCGAAGCTCCAAAACGGGCCGTTCACTAACTGCATGAAGCAACGAGCACGGTCAGATCCGAATGATAAGAAAGCGAAACCGAAAACAACAATAAACGAGATGAAAACGACGACGAAAAGGGGAAGTGCCGCCATGCGACGAGACGCGTCGCCGAGAGCCGCACGAAGCGCCGCGCGACGAGAGAAGCGTCGCCAACCGCCGAGCGACGAGAAACGCGTCGCCAAGCGCCGAGCGACGGGAGAAGCGGCGCCAACCGCCGAGCGACGGGAAAAGCGTCGCCAACCGCCGAGCGAAGCGCCGTGCCAATCGCCGTGAGGTGGGAGAGGCGTCGCCAAGAGCCGCGACAATGGCCGCTCCACGGAAGAAGAAACGCCGCTAGTCGCCGTGCGAAGCTCCAAAACGGGCCGTTCACTAACTGCATGAAGCAACGAGCACGGTCAGATCCGAATGATAAGAAAGCGAAACCGAAAACAACAATAAACGAGATGAAAACGACGACGAAAAGGAGAAGTGCCGCCATGCGACGAGACGGGTCGCCGAGAGCCGCACGGAGCGCCGCGCGACGAGAGAAGCGTCGCCAACCGCCGAGCGACGGGAGAAGCGTCGCCAAGCGCCGAGCGACGAGAGAAGCGGCGCCAACCGCCGAGCGACGGGAGAAGCGTCGCCAACCGCCGAGCGAAGCGCCGTGCCAATCGCCGTGAGGTGGGAGAGGCGTCGCCAAGAGCCGCGACAATGGCCGCTCCACGGAAGAAGAAACGCCGCTAGTCGCCGTGCGAAGCTCCAAAACGGGCCGTTCACTAACTGCATGAAGCAACGAGCACGGTCAGATCCGAATGATAAGAAAGCGAAACCGAAAACAACAATAAACGAGATGAAAACGACGACGAAAAGGAGAAGTGCCGCCATGTGACGAGACGCGTCGCCGAGAGCCGCACGGAGCGCCGCGCGACGAGAGAAGCGTCGCCAACCGCCGAGCGACGGGAGAAGCGTCGCCAAGCGCCGAGCGACGAGAGAAGCGGCGCCAACCGCCGAGCGACGGGAGAAGCGTCGGAAGCAACGGACCGCTTTGCTAACTGCCGAAAAGCAACGAACACGGTCAGCAAAAGCCGAGATGAAATCAAAGCGAGCGACAAGCGAAAAACATCAAAGCCTTACCGAGTTGCAGCCGAAGTCCGACTTGTGACGGTCAAACCTCCATCATCGCCGCGTGATCCGCCATAGTAGCGCCGCCTCGCCTTCGTCAAGAGGGTAACGCGAAGGAGAAACTTACCTCCATGCGAGTGACGATGAAGGCGAAGCTGAACTTACCTTGAACGCGAGTGAGCGTCGGATGTGAGGAGCGAAGTTCAAGGAAAGAAAAGGTTTGAACTGACCTCGAGAGAGAGAAGGGCCTCGCGGCGAGGGAGAGAAGGGACTCGCGACGAGGGAGAGAAGAGACTCGCGGCGAGGGAGAGAAGAGACTCGCGGCGAGGGAGAGAAGGGCCCGCGGCGGGAAGGACTACACGGGCGGCGGGAAGAAGCCACACACGGTTGAAGAAGGCCCACACGGGATGAAGAAGGCCACACGGGATGAAGAAGGCCACACGGGATGAAGAAGGCCACACGGGATGAAGAAGGCCACACGGGATGAAGAAGGCCACACGGGGTGAAGAAGGCCACACGGGATGAAGAAGGCCACCCGGGAAGAAGGCTACACGGGATGAAGAAGGCCACCCGGGAAGAAGGCCACACGGGATGAAGAAGGCCACACGGGATGAAGAAGGCCACACGGGATGAAGAAGGCCACCCGGGAAGAAGGCCACACGGGATGAAGAAGGCCACCCGGGAAGAAGGCCACACGGGATGAAGAAGGCCACCCGGGAAGAAGGCCACACGGGATGAAGAAGGCCACCCGGGAAGAAGGCCACACGGGATGAAGAAGGCCACCCGGGAAGAAGGCCACACGGAATGAAAGCCTAGACGGGTGAAGAAGGCCCACACAAAGCTGCAGTGAAGAATTCACTGAGAGTAATCGTGGTGAAGATCATGCCGCGAAAACCTCCGGCGTCGTACAAGCTTCAAACCGAGGCAGCGCAGCTCTTCGTTTCTCTGACGCCTGCCTGGTGCATCCGTTTGTACGAGCCGGGAAACTCAACGTTGGTCAAAATGCTCCGTGGAGGTTGTAGCTTGAAGTTCTTAATCCTTGAACGAGGAAGGACTCTGAGAAATGAACTCAGTAATAGGCACCTCATAGGAATGGATGGTTGATTGAACAAGTCGAGAGCAGAAGCTTGCGGAAGGAGACAGAGAAGGAGATGAGTCAGGGGATCAGGCATCGGTTCTGGTTTGTGTTTGGCGCAGGCCGCCGCGCGTGGCAGAACGCGCTTCTGGTTCAAATTTGATGCGTTGCTGCTGGTTGCAGCGGGGTGCGATACGGCAGATTCTTCTAGGCTAAAGTGCGGCAAGTGTTGACATTGGCTGGTTGGATTGACTAGATTGTGGTGAAGATATCTAGTTGCTTTCAACGGTGGGGATCTTCGAGATTGGGATGGTACAGTTCATGATGACTGTACTGTGGGCCCACATGGATACAGTGTTGTGTCAGTGAGGCGGCTGAAATTGGTTTTGCTCTGCAGCACACGCTCAAACTCCATTGACAATCTGAATAGTACCATATTCACATGTACAGTTCACTGCTTTGTTTTGTTTTGTTGAGTTATGGTTCTCTTTATTGTGCTGCAATCGAGACGTCTCAAGGCGCGTATCACCAACGCACAGGTTTGGTGTGCAAATCAAGTTCATGGCTGGGACAGCTAGGAACTTTCTAGTAGGAGGCTGACGTGACACTTTTAGTTGAAAATAAGTGAAGTTTGCGTGAGGTGCGGGGATGGTGTAGGTTTGTGGCGAAATTTATTCTTGGCTCGAAAACTGCGAAATTGGCTGGTGTAGCAACCCGCTTGGCTGCGTGTGAACCAGGTTCGGTCGGGCAGCTGAAATAGCGAGGAGTGGTTGGGATAAAAAGCCACGCGAGCCAATAGAAATCGAGGGTGCTTCCGTGACAGTCGCACAACCACCCACCACCCCAGCAGCTCTCGCTCGCACCTACCTGCAGTAATGTGAAGCACCTTTGCCTTGTTATCGCCATTTCCAGCACTTGGTTCAGTCTGTTAGAGTAGATCTAAGCGCTTCTTGGCTTAGAACTCGCATGGCTTCCTGGATCGCGGAAGCTAAGACTTAGCACCGTAGATAGTGTCAGTTGCTTATTAGCCGTAGTCTGATGGTAGTTGCTTCACGTATTGAAGTACGAATTGACATTTGCGTGCTGCAGATGTTCGTACAATAGCCAGTGGTACGGCTTTTTTTTGGTGGATGCATTGCGGCTCGAGTTGTAACGTTAATTTGCGGTTGGATTATAGCGTCGATTTGCGGGCACATGAAGACCATTTGCACACACATTATTAGTACCGATTTGCAACTTGCTAGTTCCATAAATATGTGAGCACGTACCATGCGGACGGCAATCATAGTTTGGTTCGTAGGCGCGTTAATGGCGTCGGAATTGCCACCTATTTGATGTCCTTGGGCGATCAAGCGAAGGCACGTTTCCTTGGGTCGCTTCTACGCAAGGCAGTAAAGAAAGGGAAAGGAGAAAGGTAAGCGGGGTTCGTGGGGAAGGACATTTCTCATCTCTCTCCGCTCTACCCTCGTCCCTCCCTCCCCCCGTCCCCCCCCCTTCCCACCCCCGCTCCCCCCTCATCTCTCCGCGCTCCCCCTCATGTTTCACTCTTCCCTCACCGCTCCCCCTCATCCCTCCCCCTCTTCCCTCATCTTCCCCCGCCCTCCGCTCGTGTCCCCCCCGCTCTCCTCCGCTCGTCTCCCACTCACCCCTCATCACCCTCTTCTCGCCAATCATCCTCTTTCCCCCTCCTCCTCACAACTACTCTCATGTCACCTGCGTTAATCCGCTCTCTCTCTCTTCATTTCTCATTCCCCCACTCACACACCAGCTTCACACCTCCCTCGCAGCTTCACATCCCTCCCCCCCCCCCCCCTCCCCGTCATCTCCAGGCCTGGTGGTCACCCCCCTCATTTTCTCATCCCTCATCCCTCCCCCCTCCAGCAGCTTACCTCTCATCACACTTACCCTCTACTGTTCCTACTCAGCCTCACATCCCCCTGACTTTCTCCCTTAGCTGCTGCCTGTATGTTCCCTCAACCTCCCTCTACCTTCAGGCTCCTCCTGGCCTACCCAGGCTCCTCCTGGCCTACCCAGGCTCCTCCTGGCCTACCCAGGCTCCTCCTGGCCTACCCAGGCTCCTCCTGGCCTACCCAGGCTCCTCCTGGCCTACCCAGGCTCTTCCTGGCCTACCCAGGCTCCTCCTGGCCTACCCAGGCTCCTCCTGGCCTACCCAGGCTCCTCCTGGCCTACCCAGGCTCCTCCTGGCCTACCCAGGCTCCTCCTGGCCTACCCAGGCTCCTCCTGGCCTACCCAGGCTCTTCCTGGCCTACCCAGGCTCCTCCTGGCCTACCCAGGCTCCTCCTGGCCTACCCAGGCTCCTCCTGGCCTACCCAGGCTCCTCCTGGCCTACCCAGGCTCCTCCTGGCCTACCCAGACTCCTCCTGGCCTACCCAGACTCCTCATGAAACTCCGCATGGCCTACCCATCTGACTCTGACCTGCCTTGGTAAATTGCCTCTGTGAATGCCCTTTGTGACTTGCCTTTGCAGCACAGGAGGCCTTTGCCTTGTTGCTGGTATTCATTGCTTTGGTAGCCAAGCCAATACGTAGATTCCTGCCATTGGATCTCTTTCTGTATGGCTTTCTCTAATGGTACTCTACCGATTTTCATACAATGGTCGCTTGGCTAAACCGAGGAAGCCAGTGAAGTACAGTGGTACGGTAACACTGGAGTACAGGAATGAGACGGAGATATTTGTGGAGGATAACAAATACAAGCATCCCATACCAGTAGTAATGGTAAGAGCTTGATGATATGGTAAATATAGCATAAATATGAAAGAGGTACAACATGAGAGCATGAAGCAAGGCATGAGCAGTAACCGAGGCAGCGAAGCGCAGCAACGCAGCTCGCCAACTACAGTACAAGTTAATAGTGAGTTAACGGTGAGAAAGTCATCCCTGTGCAAAGAGAGGGTGTGCAGAGCAGAATGCACGCAAGGTTCACATAAGGCGATACAGGAATGTGGTACCATCAGCAACCAGCTCTCGGACCCATTAGCAGTTACCAAGGTGCCCCAGAAATAGACTGGACAGAGCTAGTTCTGACTCTTGCTGCGGGGAAACCTGGTGGGTGAAGAGACGGCAGTGCTGGTTTCCTCAAGAGCCAGCAGCAGGGAGAAGCTGAGGGGAGGGAGAGAAACACTTGAGAGCAGCTCCCTCTCCTCCTCTACGATCTCCCCCTCCTCTCCTTCCTCTCCTTCCGAGTTGCTTCCATACCCGTGCAAAATCTCGTTATAATCACCCGCTGCTGCGCGCCCATGGTTGTTCTTATAACGGTTAGAACCCGCTGTTGCCAAGTCACGAGGTGCGGTTGCCAGGTCAGCAGCAGCAGCGGCAGCAGCGGCTGCCACGTCAGCAAACATCAGAACGTCCACCTCATCGTTGAAGCGCACGCGGGACGGAGTTCGCCGCCCGTCAGAAGTTGGAGTGGCGGGGTAACTTGGAGTGTGAGGGTTGTCACTTTTGAGGCGCCTCAAAAGTTGCCGCCCGTCCGAGGTTGGAGTGGCGGGGTAACTTGGAGTGTGAGTGTTGTCACGGCAGTTAGAGGTTGGAGTGGCGGGGTGATTTGGGGTGTGAGTGTTGTCACGGCAGTTAGAGGTTGGAGTGGCGGGGTAATTTGGGGTGTGAGTGTTGTCACGGCTGTTGGCTGACAGACTGAGGGACTTGCGGAGGTTGCGGCGGTGGTTAGTGGGACCGGGAGCGCGGAGGCGAGACGAGATTTGAGTCGAATCAACAGCGGGATGCAGGTCATACGCGGGGGATTGGGTATCAGTTGCGGGGGGAAGGCCGCCGCGGTTGTCAAAGGTCATACTCAGTGACTTGCGGTGCTTTCTGCCTGCGACGGGAGCGGTGGGAGCGGCATGGCGGCTGTCATGGGATTGGCTTGGCTTTGAGTCGTAAGGCTGGCTGTCAAGTGTCATACTCAAGGACTTGCGGTGGGTGCGACGGGGCGTGGGACAGCTGTGCGACGAGCTTCGCGCCGCCTTTACCGGCTGATTCAAGTCCGGCGTGGGGCATTGAGGGTCGCTTGCGGTGGGAGTGGCACTGCCACGGCTGTCGAATGTCATACTCAAGGACTTGCGGTGCCTTCTGCTTGCGGCGGGAGTGGCAACATGTTTGCCAAGGGATGGGCTTTGCTTCAAATCGAGCTTCAAATCGAGATGTTTGCGAGTGTCAGAAGTGGAGGAGGCGTAAGGGTCGATCGGGTCGATCGGGGCGGGACGGCCGCTGCTGTCAAATGTCATGCTCAGGGACTTGCGGTGCCTTCTGCTACGATCCTGACCGGAGCTGCGCGACGAGTTTTGAGTCGGCTTATAAGGGGGATGGAAGTCAGGTGTCGGAGGGAGAGGATTGCTTGCGGCAGGAGTGGTGCCGCAGCTGTCAAATGTCATACTGAGGGACTTGCGGTGGGTGCGACGGGTGGTGGCGGTTTTAGCAGTCGCACTGCTGCTTCTTCTGGTGGTGGTGGTGGTGATGCCGGTTCTGCTGCTGCTCCTGCTTCCAATGCGCTGTCCTGCCCCTTTATTGCTATCAGCCCTGTTCACACCGCGGCGGCCCTGCTGCTGCCGCTGCCAGTGTTGAGGCCGATTGCTCTCCTCAGATTGACTGCGACAAATCCGCACCCCTCTTCCACTTCCACTCTCTTTCATCCGCCTCTCCAACCCCTCTCCTCTCCTCTCGCCAATGGTTGCACCATGACTTTCTCTCTGTTGCTGCTGCTGCTGCTGCTGCTGCTGCTGCGGCGGCGGCGGCGGCGGCTGCTGTGGCTGCTGCCAGTGTTGAGGCCGATTGCTCTCCTCAGACTGACTGCGACAAATCCTTATCCCTCTCCCACGTCCACTCTCTTTCATCCGCCTCTCCAATCCCTCTCCTCCCTTTCTGCTGCCCACCACGTTTCGAGGCATTGCAAAACATTCCTCCTCTACCTCTCTCCACTCCTCCTCTTCCTCCCGTCCCTCCTCCCTCCACTCCTCTTCCTCCTGATCCCTAAGCGGCTCATACGAGTCGTTAAATTGCATGCCTACACCTAATCGGTGGTAGTTGTTGACAGGGTTACCCGCATAAGAGTCCTCCTCTACCTCGTGGTACTTACTGACAGGGTTAATCGCAAAAACGCCCGTTTCCAATAAGTACGTGCTTGGTTCAATCTCAGAAGTACCCAGATTAAACGAGTAGTTTCCCGGGTTGGTGTCAGCGCACACTCTCAGTTGATTACTTGCGTCGTCGCCTCCCCCATCCTCCTCCGTTTCTGCGTGTCGTGGTTGTGACACAAGCCGATGTGCTCTTAACAGGGTTTCAGAGGAAAGGGAAACGGGAGGCGAAAGTGAAACGGGAAGGGTAACGGGAAGCGGATGGCAGTCAGATGGTCTAACACTTCTCTGCTGTGACGTTTGAGGCGCCTCAAAAGGAGCAGAAGTGGGAAGCGGTCGGCAGTCAGAGGGTCTGACACTTCTCTGCTGCGGCAATAGCAGGCTGGTAACCTGGTTACTGCTGCTGCTGTTGACATTGCCCTTTCCGCTGCCGCTGCTATTCACTGTAATCTGGCTGCTACTAACGCTGCTGCTACTGCTGCTGTCACTTTGGCAATAGCGCTGTCTATTCTCAACAGCAAAAGAACGACCAGCAGAATCAGCAACCGAATCAGCAAAAGCAACAGCAGCAGAAGCAGCAGGAGCGGCAGCAGCACTGCAATTACCACCCTCCGCAACTTTCCCCCCTTCCTTCTCCTGTTCCTGCCCCTGTTGCCCCTTCCCTTCGTTTTGATCACCATCCCCCTCCCACCCTCTGCTACTCCTCCAAGGCTGTGTATTGGCTCGTTTCAGTATCCCTGCTTTAGGAGACTTGGAAGCTGACGACTTATATCGAATCGCTTTGTACGGGGTATAAGGGTCAGCTGCACCTGAAGTGTCCTTCTGCTGCTGCTGCTGCTCCTGCTGCTGCACGCTGTGACTATAACGGGTATGAGAGTGACGGGGGGATAAGAGGTGCATATAACGAAGGGATTCTGTGGAAATAGCTTGCACGCCTGGGATGGATAAAAACGAGGGGTGGGGCATCGCTATTGGCACATCTGCTTCGGCATCAAACGTGCTTGTAGCAGTAGCGGATGTGCTTGTATGAAAAGGCCTTGGGTCTGTTTTATGTCTGACCAGCGCTGAGCTTGCATTGAGGAAGAGTGGGGGAGGGGCAGGGCGGCGAAGCTTGGCTGATGCATCCAATGTGCTTGTTGGAGCAGGTGGGGTAGAAGCGGATGTGCTTGTATCGAATGACCTTGGGTCTGTATTGTGCCTGACCAGCGCTGGGCTTGCGTGGAGGAGTGGAGGAGGGGAGGGGCGGCGAAGTTTGGCTGCTGCTCGTGCGGCAATCACAGCAGCAGATTCGAAAGGTAAAGATGAAACCACAGATTTAGACGAGACAGAGGAGGAGAGAGGGTGGGGAGAAGGGGAGGAGGAGGAGGCGGAGGAAGAGGGGAGGGCAGACGGGAGAAGGGAGTTGGGAGGGTGTGGGTAAGGGGCAGCAGGGGGTTGGGAGAGGGACGTAACACCAGCAGGGGGAGAAGGGGAGGTGGTATCTGGGGAAGGGTGGGAGTGGTTGAAGGAGCGGAGGAAGGAGCGGATGGAGTGCTGCTGGTGGGAGGAGGGCGAGCGGGGAGAGAGAGGGGGAGTCGTTTTGGCCAAGGTGTTACTGCGCTGCTGCTGCTGCTGCTGCTGCTGCTGGGGCACCTTCACCTCATAAGAAAGCCCCTTCCCCCGCCCCTTCAGCTGCTTGGGCTGTCTTGGCCGTTCGTGTTGCCCCCCATTCTGCTGCTGCTGCTGCTGCACCCCTTGCTGCTGCACCCCTTGCTGCTGCACCCCTTGCTGCTGCTGCTGCTGCTGCATCCCTGCGTGGTGCCGCTGCCATGCCTGCAGCTCTTCCTGCCTGTACTGCTGTCTGCTTCTGTCTCTCCTCTCATAAATAGAGCTCACGGATCTCTGAGGGCGTGGTGATATTTTAGTCAATTTTTGCGTCGACTCTAAAGCTTCCTCTGCCTGCTTGTACCGCTGCCTGCTTCTATCCCTGCTCTCATGAATCGAGCTAACAGATCTATGAGGGGAGGGAGACTTATGACTCGACTCGAAAGCCTCCTCTCCCTGCCTGTACTGCTGCCGGTTTCTGTCTCTGCTCTCGTGAATAGAGCTCACAGACCTTTGAGGGGAAAGAGGTGGTCGGGATTGCACCAACGCTTGTTGATTTTGCTGCTGCTGCTGCTGCTGCTGCTGCCAATCTGCCTGCTGCCATTCCCGATGCTGTTGCTGCCATTGCCCCTGCTGCAGCAGCTGCTGCTGCTGATGCTGCCAGTCTGAGCGCGCCCCCCTCCGCCTATCTCCCTCATTGCTCTCTCCACTACCGTGGGAGGGAATGCTTTTCTGCGACAGGAAACTGCTTTCAAAAGAAACATCCCTCGGAAAAAAGGCCGCAGCAGCACCAGCACCGGCACCTGCATCTTTCTGTGAAAGTGCAGCAGATGACTTTTGAGTCGACTCAAATGCCATCTCGTTCCCCTGCGACAAAAAGCTGCTTTCAAAAGAAACATCCCTCGGAAAAAAAGCAGCCGATGGACCCACGGCGACAGCTGCAGCACCAACCCCCCCACTCCCAACCCCAGCAGCAGCAGCAGCAGCAGCAGCAGCAGCAGCACCACCACCACCCCGACCACCAGCAGCTGCAGCAGCAACACCACCACCCCCAGCAGCAGCAGCAGCAGTGCTACCAGCAATGTCCTCCGTGTGCTCTCGGGACGGCCTTCTTTCCACAGCAGCTGAGTTCCAACGTCGGTTCACCCGAGCAGCGGCATTAGCAGCCACTAGACGCGTGTTGCTGCTGCTCGTTTTGTTGCTGACACCAGTGGTGGTGCTAATGGTGCTGGTGCTGCCTGTTGTGGTGGTGCCGATACTGCTTAAAGCAGCAACGGCAGTAGGAGCAGCGATACCCTTACCTTCCCAAGGGCCAAAATCAGCCCACCGCTGCCCCGGCCGCTTTTGCTCCAATGGCGGGGCGACAGCTGGCACTTGCCACCCCTCCCCAAGGACCGGCTCATTAAAACCCGACTCACAAACAGCTGACTCGTTATAGGCAGACTCGTATGTAGACGTCCCAGAAGCAGCGGCGGCTCCAAAAGTTGTCGTGGCAGCAGCAGCAGCAGCAGCAGCAGCGATATCAGCTCCTTTTATTGACACCTTTTGAGGCGCCTCAAAAGCAGTAGTGGCTCCAAAACCTGCTGTGGCAGCAGCAGCAGCGGTGTCAGCTCCTTGCATTGACAACCTTCGACCACCCCACTTGCTCCGTGCCGCCTCAAGACTTTCCGGAATAACAAGCCTCTCATGCTTCTGCTCCTCCTTGTTACCACCCCTACTAGCAGCAGCAGCAGCAGCAGCAGCAGCAGCAGCAGCAGCAGCAGCAGCAGCAGCAGCAGCAGCAGCAGCAGCAGCAGCAGCAGCAGCAGCAGCAGCAGCAGCAGCAGCAGCAGCAGCAGCAGCAGCAGCAGCAGCAGCAGCAGCAGCAGCAGCAGCAGCAGCAGCAGCAGCAGCAGCAGCAGCAGCAGCAGCAGCAGCAGCAGCAGCAGCAGCAGCAGCAGCAGCAGCAGCAGCAGCAGCAGCAGCAGCAGCAGCAGCAGGAGCAGGGACACTAACTGTTCGCCAAATAGCCGATGACACAGACTCCCCCCTTTCAGTATCACCAACGGTCGCGTAAAAAAACTCTGGAAAATCAAGGCCTTCGTGCTCCCCCAGCCGCTCCAGTGCACTAGGGAGAGGATTCTGGGTATTTGCGAGCCTTCCCTCCCTTGCTCTTGCACCCCCCGCACTCTTGCTGCGATACAGAGGCACCTCTTCATCATCGTCATTAGAAGTTGCAACCCTGGTCCTCCCACCAGCACCAGCAACAGCAGCAACGGCACCAGCAGCACCAGCACCACCACCAGTACCAGCAGCACCAGCACCAGCAGCGGCAGCAGCGGTGGCAGCGGCAGCAGCAGGGACACTAGTTGTTCGCCAGATAACAGATGAGACAGTCTCCCCCCTTTCACTGTCGTTGATAACACCGATGTTGATGTTGCTACCACTGCTGTCACCACTGCCGTCCGTCCTGCCATTCCTGCTGCATGTGCCGCTTTCACTGCTGCGGCTGCGATGGTGGCTCTGTTGACTCTGCCCATACTTCCACCCATGATTCTGTTCATGATTTTGCCCGTGGTCCTGCCCGTAATTCTGCCCGTAATTCTGCCAGAAATTCTGCCCGAAATTCTGCCCATAATCCTGCCCGTAAAAACTGTCTTGTCCCTGCTGGGGGGAGTAATGTGCTTGTGCAGGGTCGTTAGCATTCTCCGTGACCCCCAGGCTGACAGTGCGACCAACACCAACACCAGCAGGAAGTGCGGTCCGTTGCTTGGGCGATCTTTGAGGCGCCTCAAAAGCCTTCTCGGAGCGACCAACACCAACAGCAGCAGCAGGGGGTGCGGTCCGTTGCTTGGGCGATCTTAAGGCTGAGCCAGTTCTGGGTGTCTTGGGCGTTAAGGGGGGCAGAGGGGACCGCGATCGGAACGACGGCACAGCGATTGTCAACCCACCACCACCGCTGCCACTGCCACCGCCACCGTCAGCACCACCACCAGCACCACCACCACTACCAGCAATAGCAGCACCAGCACCACCACCCCCCCCAGGAGCAGCAGCTGCAGCAGCAAGAGGAAGGTCTTCAGCACTAGAAGGCGCAATGAGGGGAAGAGACGGCAGGCGGGATCGAAAGAACCCAAGCTTGCCAGGACTCTTGGATTGCGAGGAGGAAGAGAAGGACGGGGGAGGAGAGGCACTCGGACTCACTCCCACTGATCTCCCCCCATACCCTCTTCCAACCCCTGCTTCCCCTGCTCCCCCTCCTCCTCCTCCTCCTCCACCTCCTCCTCCTCCACCTCCCCCTCCTCCTCCTCCTCCTCCTCCTCCTTCACCTCCTCCACTTCCCTTCCCAACCCCGCCTCCAAGGTTCACTCGTCCTGCTCCTCCCCCTCCCCCCCATATTCTACGTCCCGTCCCTCCTGTGCTATTACCCTCAGGGCCGGATAAGCTTCTCCTCCTCCTGAACCCACCTCCTCTCTCCTCCCTTCCTCTCTCCTCCCCCCCTCTCTCTTCCCTCCCTCTCTCTTCTCCCTCTTCCCTCTCCTTCACCTTCTCCCCTCTTTCCTTCTCCCTGCTCTTTCCCCTATTCTTCTTCTTCTCTTTTCCCTTCTCCTTCCCGCGTTCCCTCCCCCCTCTTCCACCCCTTTCCTTCTCCCTTTCCTTCTGCCACTCAACCACGATACCCCTGGCCTCTCTCTCTGCTGCAGCTACAGTACTGCTGGTGTCGATCGGACGGCCGTCATACGATATCGAAAGAATCGTACGACTGTGCTCGTCCGTGTACTTTCGCCAGCATGCCTAAATCAGGTATGATGGGGGGAAAGGGGGAGGGAGAGGGAGGAGGAAAGAGGGGGGAGGGGAAGATGGGGAGTGAGTGGACGGGAAGGATTGAAGGTTAAGAGGTCAAGACGATGCAAAAGAATCAAGACAAAAAAAGGATAAGAAAAGTGCTGAAGGAAGACGGCAAGAAAAAAAAAAAAAAAAAACTGACCAAAAGAACGTACTATTTGTATGTTCATGTGTTCATTTTAGGTACAAAAACGTAACAGAAAGTGTTACCTGGAGTATGCTGGTAGCGAAAACGTCGAACTCGGGGAGCCAGGGGTCGGGCTGAACGTGCGCGTGCAGGAAAAGCTGCCACGCCGCGTTCGCCTGCGCCACCACCCCCAGCGCCCTCCCCGCTCCCTGCTCCGCCACCCGCATGCGCGGCAGGAATGAGGGCTTGTCCGCTGTGGGGCAAAGGGGAGGTATGAAGGGAGGAAGCGGAGGTGGAGGGGGAGCAGGTGGGTGAGGAAGTTGAATAGTAGAGGGAGGAGGAGAAAGAGGGGAAGCTGATAGGGGGAGCAATTGGGGGGAAACTGAAAGGAAGAGGAGGGGGATGAGTTGAGAGAAATATGGGGCGGAGGAGTAAGTGCGAACGGAGGAGTAAACTTAACTCCCTTCCGTAACCATCCTGATATCGCGTACGCTCACCTGCACTTGTAGCGTCACACACGGCCAGCCACGCGTAGATCTCTTCCAGCCTGCCTGGCATGATCTCGGGCAGTTCATACAAATCGTTCACCATGTGCGCCACGGGATCCCCTCCACCAATCGCAACCACCACCCACGCCAATCCCTCCTCCCGCACCACCGGAATCGCACCAATCGGCTTCACCGTGTGCACCTGCCCGAGTTTTGCGGGCTGACGCGAAAGATCTAGAACTTCCACCGCCGTTCCGCATCCCGAAACGCCGCCAAATTCGTCCTCTCCCTCCTCGGGATCTTGCCACGTCTGCGGAAGCGAGCCGATGTGCCACGGCGCGTCACGAGCAAAGTGCGACGGTTCGCCGTTTCGCGAGTTCGGTGTAACGCGTAACGGCGTGTATTCTTCCGGGGCGAAATCGTGTTTCGCCCACGTCCCTCGCGGAGTCGTGGAAACGAAATTCAGCCACGTGTTTTTCCCGTACAAGGGGATATTATGCCACGGCGATACTATATGCCCGTTGTTATCCAAAAACATCATCCTAAAACCTAGCGACCCCGGCGAACCGAACTGAACCGCGTGGCCTTTCCCTTCCGTCTCGCCCCACGATACTTCCGGAGCTTGCGGCTGCTGACGCGCTTCGTCATTTTCGCGATCCCAAAAGCTAGGGTCATCATCATGATTATCAGAAAGAGACTTGCTGGTCGGAAATATTAAATCTCCTTGTTTCAGGGCGATCGGATCTGCGCCGCGTTGCTCTAAAAGCGGTGCGACCGCCGCATCTGACGGCGGGGATCGCGCAGGCGTCAGTACAGGGAGTGAGTTGAGTCGAACCGGCGGTGAACGGTTTTTTCCGTTCTGTCTTCCTTCTGCCGGCTGCCCGAACTGTGTCCACGTAGCCTTCTCCTTCTGCGGCGCGACTCGGCTACTGCTGGAAGTAAAGGGCCGCTGCCACATAGTGACGTATCGCGCGGCGGTCACGTTCGCGCAGCGCTCGCGTGAGTTTCAAAAGTCGCCTCGACTGCCGCATATCAGCGCCAGCGCGTTCGCCGTTCTTCGCGGCGTCGGACGTGGCGTTCGCCGATGCGACGCCTGAGATTGGGTTCGCCGACACGCCAATACGTCATGCGTATCACAGGTATCGCCCGTGATACCGCACGTGATGATTGCAATTCTGAGAACTACCGTCTCTAACGGCCACAAAGCTGGTGGTAAGCGTAAGGAATCTATGAGAAAAGAAAATCTCACGATGCTCTGCTTGTGTTATGGTGATTTGTGAGGACGTACACGCACACCATCGTGAGGATGCTTCATAATTTTGTTTGGAGCCTGTCATTTCAGATGCTATTTTTGGTCCCATTGAGCACCTTTCACAAAAGAGGGGACTTGGCTCGATGAATTATGACCAGAAATGCATCACAGGGCTGTAAGGAAGACGACGAGCGGAGATGAGGCGAGGCGAGGAAGGCAGAGAGGGCGTGAGAGAGAGAAAAGATATGATTAGGTGGAGGCGCTGATGCGTCAAGTTCACAAGCTTCTAATTACCGCTCGTTTAAGCGCGATAACTCACTCAAGCGCTGTAAACCGTTTTATTGGACCTTTATAAAGCTCAATACAGTAACCGCAAATGTCCAACCCGAATGCCTGTGGGCAGACGAAACGAAGCGCAAAACAGTGTACACCGTTCTGTAACATGTTGTGTCGTGTTGTGTCATATGAAGTCAGCTGTGGGTGCAGTGGGCATTCGTCGTCCTTCATGCCACCCCACACGGTTACTGTACGCTGACCTGACCGTGACAAAGTGCACAGTTGGAGTCAAATATTCCCAGTTTCTGCAGTGGGTGCGAAAAAGTCACTTGTTTTTGCATGATGTTTCGAAATGTGCTGTTTTTTACTGCTGATTCCTCTCTGAGAAAGAAGGTGAGAACGAGCACATTTCTGATGAAGGACGCCCGTCCCTGCCAATTCCTTTCTTTCCAGATCTGAGAATCAAAATTTTGTGCTCAGGTCTGATCTCGCGACGCACAACAAAGCGTCACGCGCGGCGGTTAAAAAGTCGCCAAAACCGACAGCTTGACCAGCTGTTCTTCGCAGTGCCACGGACGTACCTGGTCTTTCCAGACGAAATGCGTTCAGATCATGGAAACTCGATAAAATGAGGTCTACCGTTATTCACATAATTCATATGGTTATGCCTACTAATTTGCTACCCAAAGATAAATTTCCAACCTACCACAAATGTTGGTGTGATTTTTGTTTCTCAGAAAAATAAGCCGCCGGATCCGCCATGGGCTTTATTTTCTGACCATTCTCGTGAATCCCCATCAAATTATTATCAAACGTGCAAAACCACTCACCAAACAAGTGAAACACAGCAATATTGATCGTTCCATGTTGTGTCTGACTGTACGTGTTATCGAGGTCCTTGTTGAAGGCCATCCACATACTGAAGGACGTGCCTCCTCTCCACTGTCCCCACTCCCAAAGCGTGCATAGTCATCACTAAAAAATGTAACTTCCAAAAGCACTGCAAGCCATTGCGATTATAGCGCTTCTCACGCTTAGGTCATACGCCGACAGAGCCATTGTTTATTTTCTGGAACCTAATACGCGGAGCATTTCGCATCAAAAGTGAGAATGCATCCATGGCGGCGCCTTAGCCATTCTCTTTTCTGCGGCCCGATTCCCCTTCGCCGACGCCCGATTCCCCTTTCCCGTCGCCTGGTGCCCCTTCCCGCCGCCCGGTTTCCCTTTCCCGCCGCCACGAAACCTCAGTCACGCTGCACGATTCCCCTTCTCGCCCCCCGATTCTTCTTTCCCACCGGCCGATTCCCTTTCCCGTCGCCCTACTCCCTTTCCCGTCGCCCGATTCACGTACCCGCCGCCTGGTTCCCCTTCCGCGTCGCCTGAATCCCCTTTCCCGCCCATTGGGCGGGCCGGCCGACCGCCCCTTTTCGCCGTCCGATTCCCCTTTCGCGCCGCCGGATTCCCGTTCCCTCCGCCCGCTTCCCCTTTCCCGCCGCCCGATGCGCCTTCCCGCCGCCCGATGCGCCTTCCCGCCGCCCGATTCCCATTTCCCGCCGCCCGATTCCCATTTCCCGCCGCCCGATTCCCATTTCCCGCCGCCAGACTTCCCTTCCCGCCTCCCTATTCCCCTTTCCGTCGCCCGACGTTCCCTCCCTACGTTCCATCCCTTCCCTCCCTTCTCTCCCTTCCCTCCCTTCTCTCCCTCCCACCCTTCACTCCCTTCCCTCCCTTCCCTCCCTTCCCTCCCTTCACTCCCTTCCCTCCCTTCCCTCCTATCTCTCCCTTCCCGCCCTTCTCTCCCCCCTTACCTTCTCTCCCTTTTCGAACCTTCCCTCTCATCCCTCCTTGCAATCTCCTGTCCCTCCCTTCTCTCCCGTCCCTCCCTTCTCTCCCGTCCCTCCTTTCTCTCCCGTCCCTCCCTTCTCTCCCGTCCCTCCCTTCTCTCCCGTCCCTCCCTTCCCTCCCTTCCCAGCCTTCTCTTTATTTTCTCCCTTCTCTCCCTACCCGCCCTTCTCTTCCCCCCTACCACCCTTTTCTCCCTTCCATCCTTTCCATCCCTACCACCCTTTTCTCCCTTCCATCCTTTCCATCCCTACCACCCTTTTCTCCCTTCCATCCTTTCCATCCCTACCACCCTTTTCTCCCTTCCATCCTTTCCATCCCTACCACCCTTTTCTCCCTTCCATCCTTTCCATCCCTACCACCCTTTTCTCCCTTCCATCCTTTCCATCCCTACCACCCTTCTCTCCCTTCTCTCCCTTCTCTCCCGCTCCTCTCTTCCCTCCCTTCCCTTTCTGCTCCTCTCTTCCCGCCCTTCCCTCTCTGCTCCTCTCTTCCCTCCATTCCTGCTTCCTGTAACCAACCCCCCCTACCCCCACTCTCCCTTCCTCTCCCGTCCACTTCCCTTCCCCCATCCCTCAAATTCCTTTGCCTTTCTCTTACCTGCCACTACTCTTCCTTCCCTTCCTTTCCTTCCGTCCCCTTCCTACCCTCCCCTTCATTCCCTCCCTAATCCCTCCCTCCACTTCCTCCCCTCCGCTCCCTCCCCATCCCTGCCCTTCCATCCCTGCTCTTTCCTTCTCTGCCCTGCCCTTCTGCGCCACTATTCGCCTTGTGCCTCCTAGTTCCCGTGCACGTGTTGCCATCACATTTGCCCCATACACTCCCCTCTAACTTACGTGTACTCACTTGTATTCCCTTCGCCCCCACCCCTGCCTTCCCTCCCATTATTTTGGGGCCCCATTACCGATGCGACACCAGGTCTCATACAACTTGTATGCATACGCAAAGCAGCCGGTTTTGCATGTATTTCAGCAACGTATAAGGAGGACAATTCCCTCTGCTCCAGCTACAAGCAGGACAAAGCCTCGCCCAAGCAAGCTTGGCGGCATGAGGGGAGGGGCATCAGGTTCCAGGAGTGTGTCACGGCGTGAAGATGACACCGAGAGTAGAGGATGGCACTGTCTTGTATACCTGGTGCTGATGTTATTGTGTGTACTGCTGTGAAAGCTCTTTTTTTTTCTTCATCAATTGCAAACCTAAAGATGCCTTATAGAAAGAGGAAAGGCAGAGGGTACAAGCGGGTAAATGCGTTGTAACATGCTATTGATGTCAAGTTACAACGAGAGCACCAGCGGGTCACTCTTCCAATAGTGTCTCTCCTGTGCTTTCTACTCTGCTACCTCTGCCCACAGCCTCTGCCCTAGCCTGGCAGGTTCGAAACGACCGGACCTGCCTCGCGCACACAGAGTGTGTCAGCTGTTCCAGGCTCGGGTCCGAGCCTGCGAAGGAGGTTCGGCGGCTGCTGGGGAGGGCAGTGGCACGGGCCAATGAGAGGGCGCCCGCTGTCGTCGTGTTGGATCTGGATGTGCTGGGGGTGAGTGGGGGAGCGGAGGAAGGGACAGGTGGCGGCGTGGGATTGGTAGAGTTCACTGCAGACCTGATGGATGAATGGCAGGCGAGGCAGGGGGAGAAAGGAGGGGATGCAGGGGGGAGAAGTAGGTGAAGCAGAGGGGGAAAGGAGGGGAAGGAGGGGGGAAGGAGGGGAAGCAGAGGGGGAAAGGAGGGGAAGCAAGGGAGGAAAGAGGGGAATTGGTGGGGGAAAGGAGGGGAAGCAGGGGGGGACAGGAGGTGATGCAGGGGGGAAAAAGAGGGGAAGCAGAGGGGGAAAGGAGGGGAAGCAGTGGGAGAAAGGAGGGGAAGCAGTGGGAGAAAGGAGGGGAAGCAGTGGGAGAAAGGAGGGGAAGCAGTGGGAGAAAGGAGGGGAAGCAGTGGGAGAAAGGAGGGGAAGCAGTGGGAGAATTGGGGGAAGCAATGGAGGAAAGGAGGGGAATTGGTGGGGAAAACGAGGGGATGCAGGGGGAAAGGAGGGGATGCAGGGGGAAAGGAGGGGATGCAGGGGGGAAAAGGAGGGGATGCAAGGGGGAAAAGGAGGGGAAGCAGAGGGGAAAAGAGGGGAAGCAGAGGGGGAAAGGGGGAAAAGGAGGGGAGGCAGATGGCATGATGAGGGGGAAGGGAGGGCTAGTAGGGGTGAAACTAGTGGCATGATGAGGGGGAAGGGAGGGCTAGTAGGGGTGAAACTCGTGGCATGATGAGGGGGAAGGGAGGGCTAGTAGGGGTGAAACTCGTGGCATGATGATGGGGAAGGGAGGGCTAGTAGGGGAGAAACAGATGGCATGATGATGGGGAAATGAGGAGATAGGAGAAGGAGGTAGAGGAGGAGGAGGATATAGGACCAGGGGGGGTGGGGAGAGGGGGGGGAGGGGGAAGGAAGATGGGAGAGGGACTGCCCGATTTCCAACGAATGGGCGACGTGTCTCGCGGGAGGAAGGAAGGTGGGGAGTCGGTTGACTCACCGAAGGCAACGCGATGGGGCAGGAAGGTGGGGAGTCGGTTGACTCACCGAAGGCAACGCGACGGGGCAGGAAGGTGGGGAGTCGGTTGACTCACCGAAGGCAACGCGATGGGGCAGGAAGGTGGGGAGTCGGTTGACTCACCGAAGGCAACGCGACGGGGCAGGAAGGTGGGGAGTCGGTTGACTCACCGAAGGCAACGCGACGGGGCAGGAAGGTGGGGAGTCGGTTGACTCACCGAAGGCAACGCGACGGGGCAGGAAGGTGGGGAGTCGGTTGACTCACCGAAGGCAACGCGACGGGGCAGGAAGGTGGGGAGTCGGTTGACTCACCGAATGCCGTATGGCTCTGGAGGGGGAAGTGGAGGTTGGAGGGGTGCAGAAGACGCAATGCCGACGCCAGGCCCCTGTGAAAGGCGTCGCGCGGCTGATGGGGCGTGAAGGGAGGCAGGAGATGGACATGGGGGTGGGGGAGCACGAGGGAGTGAGCATGAGGCAGGGAGCACGAGGGAGTGAGTTTGAAGCATGCTGGGTAATGCGGAAGGGGGAATGCGGAAGGGGGAATGCGGAAGGGGGAATGCGGAGCGGAAGGGGGAATGCGGAAGGCTGAATGCGGAAGGGGGAATGCGGAAGGGAGAATGCGGAAGGGGGAATGCGGAAGGGAGAATGCGAAAGGGGGAATGCGGCTGGGGGATTGCGGAATCGGGGATGCGGCAGGGGGAATGCGGATGGCGGAATGCGGAAGGCGGAATGGGGAAGGGGGAATATGGACGGGGGACTGTGGAAGGGGGAATGCGGAAGGGGGAATGCGGCTCGGGGATTGCGGAATCGGGGATGCGGCAGGGGGGATGCGGAACGGGGGTTGCGGCAGGTGGAACGCTCCGTGATGGAATGCGGAGGGGGGGATGTGGCAAGGGAATGTCGAAGGGGGCTTGCGGTCGGGGGAATGCAGCTGGTATGCGACGGCGCGAATTCGTCAGGGCGCACGAAACAACGCGAGCGCCTGCTCTTATACACGAGATAGCCCCTGGGCGAAAGCGAGGCGTCTCTGGCACGCTGTGCTGACGCGTGCGCTATGCAGATGTAGTGTCGCTTTGCTGCGGGCGTTTTGCTGGCGTGCGCTGATCTGCTGAGGGCGCAATGCTGACGCGCGCTGTGTTGGCTCGCGCGGAATGCAGGCGCGCGTGCGATGCTTGAGGGGAGAGCGCGACAGTTGCTGCACAAGCTGCAGCTTCTGCGCGCTTTTGCTGGTCGTTTCGCAGGCGAGGCTTGTAATGCGGCTCCCTAAGTACTCACCCGCGACTTCGTGCGTGGTCGCGCTGCTGGCTTCGCACCTTCCAGCGCGCGCCTTGGCTATTTCTACCTGGTCTTTTAGGTTTTAGTCGCCTATTCTTCGTAGTGCGTGAGGGTGGCAGGTGAGGTGGGTGACGGGAGCATTGAACCATTTCGTGACTCACAACCAACCCAACCCTGGTTCCCCCACAACAGAAGTGCCCTAGGTCTTCGCCAAAAACTATCGCCCCCCTCGTTTTTTTTTCGTTGAGGCGAAATCGCGTTGCACACTGTAGAGAAGCAGCAGTACTGTCAAATGTATACCGCTGCTACTGTACATTCTAGCATCTACTTTCAGGGGCTATCACAGCGCGTTTATGGGCTCACACTTGAACTGCCGGGCTTTCTGAGAAAAGGTGGTGATAAGTGAGAATTTACGACGTCGACATCGGAGATAACGGGCTTTATTTCAGGCCATTAGCGCGTTAGACAATGTCTCTCATGGATCCGCTAAAGTCGGACACTTTGCTTTTCATTAGGAAGTAAATTAATCTAATCAAAGCGCAGCATTATATTCCGAAGGTTCCTCATCAGTCCGAGCGGTTCGCTCGTTTTCCCACTTTTCCGGAAATTCGTCCCAGCGCCATTCGCGCCTGCGGCTGCTGGGATGGAGTGCGTGGTTCAAGGAATTATCGAGAGTAAGGTACGTGGTACATGATTGTTGAGAATACCACGGCGGCGTAACGAAGGTTTTCGCGGCTGCTAAAAGGATGGAATGCGTGGTTTGAGGCTGCATCTTGCACCGCACCTTTCCCCCATTTCTCTTTTCCCCTCTCCCCCCTCTCCCTCCTCCCCTCCCTCCTCCCCTCCCTCCTCCCCTCCCCACTCTCCCCTTCCCTTCCCCCCCCTCCCCTCCCCCTCTCCCTCTCCCCCGCCCTCTTCCTTTCCATTTTCCCCTTTCTCCCTTTTCCCCACACCACCAGCATGTGCGCGCACTGGTGGAGCTTATAGAGGGGATGACAGGCGCCAGAGAAGAGAAGCTGGATCTACACCAACTAGTGTACAGAAACGCGCCCAATATAGGTAGTGTGGTAGAATAAGTGTTCATGCTCCATGCATCATGTGCGTGCACTGGTGGAGCTTATAGAGGGGATGACATGCTCCAAGGAGGTAGGGTTAGTGTACAGAAACGCACCCAATATAGGTACTGGGGAAGATTTTTTGTGCTCCATGCATCACCATGTGCACACTGGTGGAGCTTATAGAGGGGATGACAGCTGCGATAGTGGATCTACACCAGTTAGCGTGCAGAAGCGCACCCAATATAGGTACTGCCAGAATATTCATGCTCCCTGCTCTATGCTCTATGCTCTGTGCTTGATGCTTCACGGACCATGCATCATTCATCATGCCCCATGCCCCATGCCCCATGCATGATGTATGATGCATGATGTTATGTCTAAGGATCGTCTCTACTCGAGTGCAACGACTACCGGGAAAGCGCTTCTATTTCCCCGTATTCTTCCGCCTTTGCCTCGCTCTCCTATCATGAGTATCCCATCAGGAGCAATAACCCTTGTCTGTCCATCACTCCCTTGTACCGTGTTGTACCGTGTTGTACCGTGTTGTGCCGTGCTGTACCGTGTGTACCCCACCAGGAGCCATACCCTGTGAGGTTCGACTGGAGTGCCCTCTCAACTGCACCCCACCCATATGGTATGCCATACATGACATGCACGTGGATGGCATGGGATGCATGGTGTGGTCATGGATGGGATGGTATGCATGGGATGCATGGTATGGTCATGGATGAGATGGTATGCATGGGATGCATGGTATGGTCATGGATGGGATGGTATGCATGGGATGCATGGTATGGTCATGGATGGGATGGTATGCATGGGATGCATGGTATGGTCATGGATGAGATGGTATGCATGGGATGCATGGTATGGTCATGGATGGGATGGTATGCATGGGATGCATGGTATGGTCATGGATGGGATGGTATGCATGGGATGCATGGTATGGTCATGGATGGGATGGTATGCATGGGATGCATGACATGGTCATGGATGGGATGGTATGCATGGAATGCATGGTATGGTCATGGATGGGATGGTATGCATGGGATGCATGGTATGGTCATGGATGAGATGGTATGCATGGGATGCATGGTATGGTCATGGATGGGATGGTATGCATGGGATGCATGGTATGGTCATGGATGGGATGATATGCATGGGATGCATGGTATGGTCATGGATGGGATGGTATGCATGGGATGCATGGTATGGTCATGGATGGGATGGTATGCATGGAATGCATGACATGGTCATGGATGGGATGGTATGCATGGAATGCATGGTATGGTCATGGATGGGATGGTATGCATGGGATGCATGGTATGGTCATGGATGAGATGGTATGCATGGGATGCATGGTATGGTCATGGATGGGATGGTATGCATGGAATGCATGGTATGGTCATGGATGGGATGGTATGCATGGAATGCATGACATGGTCATGGATGGGATGGTATGCATGGGATGCATGACATGGTCATGGATGGGATGGTATGCATGGGATGCATGGTATGGTCATGGATGAGATGGTATGCATGGGATGCATGGTATGGTCATGGATGGGATGGTATGCATGGAATGCATGACATGGTCATGGATGGGATGGTATGCATGGGATGCATGGTATGGTCATGGATGGGATGATATGCATGGGATGCATGACATGGTCATGGATGGGATGGTATGCATGGGATGCATGGTATGGTCATGGATGGGATGATATGCATGGGATGCATGACATGGTCATGGATGGGATGGTATGTATGGGATGCATGGTATGGTCATGGATGGGATGGTATGCATGGAATGCATGACATGGTCATGGATGGGATGGTATGCATGGGATGCATGGTATGGACATGGATGGGATGATATGCATGGGATGCATGACATGGTCACGGATGGGATGGTATGCATGGAATGCATGACATGGTCATGGATGAGATGGTATGCATGGGATGCATGACATGGTCATGGATGGGATGGTATGCATGGGATGCATGACATGGTCATGGATGAGATGGTATGCATGGGATGCATGACATGGTCATGGATGGGATGGTATGCATGGGATGCATGGTATGGTCATGGATGAGATGGTATGCATGGGATGCATGGTATGGTCATGGATGGGATGGTATGCATGGGATGCATGGTATGGTCATGGATGAGATGGTATGCATGGGATGCATGACATGGTCATGGATGAGATGGTATGCATGGGATGCATGGTATGGTCATGGATGGGATGATATGCATGGGATGCATGACATGGTCATGGATGGGATGGTATGCATGGGATGCATGGTATGGTCATGGATGAGATGGTATGCATGGGATGCATGGTATGGTCATGGATGGGATGGTATGCATGGGATGCATGGTATGGTCATGGATGGGATGGTATGCATGGAATGCATGACATGGTCATGGATGGGATGGTATGCATGGAATGCATGACATGGTCATGGATGGGATGGTATGCATGGGATGCATGGTATGGTCATGGATGGGATGGTATGCATGGGATGCATGGCATGGTCATGGATGGGATGGTATGCATGGAATGCATGACATGGTCATGGATGAGATGGTATGCATGGGATGCATGGTATGGTCATGGATGGGATGATATGCATGGAATGCATGACATGGTCATGGATGGGATGGTATGCATGGAATGCATGACATGGTCATGGATGAGATGGTATGCATGGGATGCATGGTATGGTCATGGATGGGATGATATGCATGGGATGCATGGTATGGTCATGGATGGGATGGTATGCATGGGATGCATGACATGGTCATGGATGGGATGGTATGTATGGGATGCATGGTATGGTCATGGATGGGATGGTATGCATGGAATGCATGACATGGTCATGGATGGGATGGTATGCATGGGATGCATGGTATGGTCATGGATGGGATGATATGCATGGGATGCATGGTATGGTCATGGATGGGATGGTATGCATGGGATGCATGGTATGGTCATGGATGAGATGGTATGCATGGGATGCATGGTATGGTCATGGATGGGATGGTATGCATGGGATGCATGGTATGGTCATGGATGAGATGGTATGCATGGGATGCATGGTATGGTCATGGATGGGATGGTATGCATGGGATGCATGACATGGTCATGGATGGGATGGTATGCATGGGATGCATGGTATGGTCATGGATGGGATGGTATGCATGGGATGCATGACATGGTCATGGATGGGATGGTATGCATGGGATGCATGGCATGGTCATGGATGGGATGGTATGCATGGAATGCATGACATGGTCATGGATGAGATGGTATGCATGGGATGCATGACATGGTCATGGATGAGATGGTATGCATGGGATGCATGGTATGGTCATGGATGAGATGGTATGCATGGGATGCATGGTATGGTCATGGATGGGATGGTATGCATGGAATGCATGACATGGTCATGGATGGGATGGTATGCATGGAATGCATGACATGGTCATGGATGGGATGGTATGCATGGGATGCATGGTATGGTCATGGATGAGATGGTATGCATGGGATGCATGGTATGGTCATGGATGGGATGGTATGCATGGGATGCATGACATGGTCATGGATGAGATGGTATGCATGGGATGCATGGTATGGTCATGGATGAGATGGTATGCATGGGATGCATGGTATGGTCATGGATGGGATGGTATGCATGGGATGCATGACATGGTCATGGATGGGATGGTATGCATGGGATGCATGGTATGGTCATGGATGAGATGGTATGCATGGGATGCATGGTATGGTCATGGATGGGATGGTATGCATGGAATGCATGACATGGTCATGGATGGGATGGTATGCATGGAATGCATGACATGGTCATGGATGGGATGGTATGCATGGGATGCATGACATGGTCATGGATGAGATGGTATGCATGGGATGCATGGTATGGTCATGGATGGGATGGTATGCATGGGATGCATGGTATGGTCATGGATGAGATGGTATGCATGGGATGCATGGTATGGTCATGGATGGGATGGTATGCATGGAATGCATGACATGGTCATGGATGGGATGGTATGCATGGGATGCATGGTATGGTCATGGATGGGATGATATGCATGGGATGCATGGTATGGTCATGGATGGGATGGTATGCATGGGATGCATGGTATGGTCATGGATGAGATGGTATGCATGGGATGCATGGTATGGTCATGGATGGGATGGTATGCATGGGATGCATGGTATGGTCATGGATGAGATGGTATGCATGGGATGCATGGTATGGTCATGGATGGGATGGTATGCATGGGATGCATGACATTGTCATGGATGAGATGGTATGCATGGGATGCATGGTATGGTCATGGATGAGATGGTATGCATGGGATGCATGGTATGGTCATGGATGGGATGGTATGCATGGGATGCATGGTATGGTCATGGATGAGATGGTATGCATGGGATGCATGGTATGTTCATGGATGGGATGGTATGCATGGAATGCATGACATGGTCATGGATGAGATGGTATGCATGGGATGCATGGTATGGTCATGGATGAGATGGTATGCATGGGATGCATGGTATGGTCATGGATGGGATGGTATGCATGGGATGCATGGTATGGTCATGGATGAGATGGTATGCATGGGATGCATGGTATGGTCATGGATGGGATGGTATGCATGGGATGCATGGTATGGTCATGGATGAGATGGTATGCATGGGATGCATGGTATGGTCATGGATGAGATGGTATGCATGGGATGCATGGTATGGTCATGGATGGGATGGTATGCATGGGATGCATGGTATGGTCATGGATGAGATGGTATGCATGGGATGCATGGTATGGTCATGGATGAGATGGTATGCATGGGATGCATGGTATGGTCATGGATGAGATGGTATGCATGGGATGCATGACATGGTCATGGATGGGATGGTATGCATGGAATGCATGACATGGTCATGGATGGGATGGTATGCATGGGATGCATGGTATGGTCATGGATGAGATGGTATGCATGGGATGCATGGTATGGTCATGGATGGGATGGTATGCATGGGATGCATGACATGGTCATGGATGGGATGGTATGCATGGGATGCATGGTATGGTCATGGATGAGATGGTATGCATGGGATGCATGGTATGGTCATGGATGGGATGGTATGCATGGGATGCATGGTATGGTCATGGATGAGATGGTATGCATGGGATGCATGATATGGTCATGGATGGGATGGTATGCATGGGATGCATGACATGGTCATGGATGAGATGGTATGCATGGGATGCATGGTATGGTCATGGATGAGATGGTATGCATGGGATGCATGGTATGGTCATGGATGGGATGGTATGCATGGGATGCATGGTATGGTCATGGATGAGATGGTATGCATGGGATGCATGGTATGGTCATGGATGAGATGGTATGCATGGGATGCATGGTATGGTCATGGATGAGATGGTATGCATGGGATGCATGACATGGTCATGGATGGGATGGTATGCATGGGATGCATGGTATGGTCATGGATGGGATGGTATGCATGGGATGCATGGTATGGTCATGGATGAGATGGTATGCATGGGATGCATGGTATGGTCATGGATGGGATGGTATGCATGGGATGCATGGTATGGTCATGGATGAGATGGTATGCATGGGATGCATGGTATGGTCATGGATGAGATGGTATGCATGGGATGCATGACATGGTCATGGATGGGATGGTATGCATGGAATGCATGACATGGTCATGGATGGGATGGTATGCATGGAATGCATGACATGGTCATGGATGGGATGGTATGCATGGGATGCATGACATGGTCATGGATGAGATGGTATGCATGGGATGCATGGTATGGTCATGGATGGGATGGTATGCATGGGATGCATGGTATGGTCATGGATGGGATGGTATGCATGGAATGCATGACATGGTCATGGATGGGATGGTATGCATGGGATGCATGGTATGGTCATGGATGGGATGATATGCATGGGATGCATGGTATGGTCATGGATGAGATGGTATGCATGGGATGCATGGTATGGTCATGGATGAGATGGTATGCATGGGATGCATGGTATGGTCATGGATGGGATGGTATGCATGGAATGCATGACATGGTCATGGATGGGATGGTATGCATGGGATGCATGGTATGGTCATGGATGGGATGATATGCATGGGATGCATGGTATGGTCATGGATGGGATGGTATGCATGGGATGCATGGTATGGTCATGGATGAGATGGTATGCATGGGATGCATGGTATGGTCATGGATGGGATGGTATGCATGGGATGCATGGTATGGTCATGGATGAGATGGTATGCATGGGATGCATGGTATGGTCATGGATGAGATGGTATGCATGGAATGCATGACATGGTCATGGATGGGATGGTATGCATGGAATGCATGACATGGTCATGGATGGGATGGTATGCATGGGATGCATGGTATGGTCATGGATGAGATGGTATGCATGGGATGCATGGTATGGTCATGGATGGGATGGTATGCATGGGATGCATGGTATGGTCATGGATGGGATGGTATGCATGGGATGCATGGTATGGTCATGGATGGGATGGTATGCATGGAATGCATGACATGGTCATGGATGGGATGGTATGTATGGGATGCATGGTATGGTCATGGATGAGATGGTATGCATGGGATGCATGGTATGGTCATGGATGGGATGGTATGCATGGGATGCATGGTATGGTCATGGATGGGATGGTATGCATGGAATGCATGACATGGTCATGGATGAGATGGTATGCATGGGATGCATGGTATGGTCATGGATGGGATGGTATGCATGGGATGCATGGTATGGTCATGGATGGGATGGTATGCATGGGATGCATGGTATGGTCATGGATGGGATGGTATGCATGGAATGCATGACATGGTCATGGATGGGATGGTATGCATGGGATGCATGGTATGGTCATGGATGAGATGGTATGCATGGGATGCATGGTATGGTCATGGATGGGATGGTATGCATGGGATGCATGGTATGGTCATGGATGGGATGGTATGCATGGGATGCATGGTATGGTCATGGATGGGATGGTATGCATGGAATGCATGACATGGTCATGGATGGGATGGTATGTATGGGATGCATGGTATGGTCATGGATGAGATGGTATGCATGGGATGCATGGTATGGTCATGGATGGGATGGTATGCATGGGATGCATGGTATGGTCATGGATGGGATGGTATGCATGGAATGCATGACATGGTCATGGATGAGATGGTATGCATGGGATGCATGGTATGGTCATGGATGGGATGGTATGCATGGGATGCATGGTATGGTCATGGATGGGATGGTATGCATGGGATGCATGGCATGGTCATGGATGGGATGGTATGCATGGGATGCATGGTATGGTCATGGATGAGATGGTATGCATGGGATGCATGGCATGGTCATGGATGAGATGGTATGCATGGGATGCATGGCATGGTCATGGATGAGATGGTATGCATGGGATGCATGGTATGGTCATGGATGGGATGGTATGCATGGGATGCATGGTATGGTCATGGATGGGATGGTATGCATGGGATGCATGGTATGGTCATGGATGAGATGGTATGCATGGGATGCATGGTATGGTCATGGATGAGATGGTATGCATGGGATGCATGGTATGGTCATGGATGGGATGATATGCATGGGATGCATGGTATGGTCATGGATGGGATGGTATGCATGGGATGCATGGTATGGTCATGGATGGGATGGTATGCATGGGATGCATGGTATGGTCATGGATGGGATGGTATGCATGGGATGCATGGTATGGTCATGGATGAGATGGTATGCATGGGATGCATGGTATGGTCATGGATGGGATGGTATGCATGGGATGCATGGTATGGTCATGGATGAGATGGTATGCATGGGATGCATGGTATGGTCATGGATGAGATGGTATGCATGGGATGCATGGTATGGTCATGGATGGGATGGTATGCATGGAATGCATGACATGGTCATGGATGAGATGGTATGCATGGGATGCATGGTATGGTCATGGATGGGATGGTATGCATGGGATGCATGGTATGGTCATGGATGAGATGATATGCATGGGATGCATGGTATGGTCATGGATGAGATGGTATGCATGGGATGCATGGTATGGTCATGGATGGGATGGTATGCATGGAATGCATGACATGGTCATGGATGAGATGGTATGCATGGGATGCATGGTATGGTCATGGATGGGATGGTATGCATGGGATGCATGGTATGGTCATGGATGAGATGGTATGCATGGGATGCATGGTATGGTCATGGATGGGATGGTATGCATGGGATGCATGGTATGGTCATGGATGAGATGGTATGCATGGGATGCATGGTATGGTCATGGATGAGATGGTATGCATGGGATGCATGGTATGGTCATGGATGGGATGGTATGCATGGAATGCATGACATGGTCATGGATGAGATGGTATGCATGGGATGCATGGTATGGTCATGGATGGGATGGTATGCATGGGATGCATGGTATGGTCATGGATGAGATGGTATGCATGGGATGCATGGCATGGTCATGGATGGGATGGTATGCATGGGATGCATGGTATGGTCATGGATGAGATGGTATGCATGGGATGCATGGTATGGTCATGGATGGGATGGTATGCATGGGATGCATGGTATGGTCATGGATGAGATGGTATGCATGGGATGCATGGTATGGTCATGGATGAGATGGTATGCATGGGATGCATGGTATGGTCATGGATGGGATGGTATGCATGGGATGCATGGTATGGTCATGGATGAGATGGTATGCATGGGATGCATGGTATGGTCATGGATGAGATGGTATGCATGGGATGCATGGTATGGTCATGGATGGGATGGTATGCATGGGATGCATGGTATGGTCATGGATGAGATGGTATGCATGGGATGCATGGTATGGTCATGGATGGGATGGTATGCATGGGATGCATGGTATGGTCATGGATGAGATGGTATGCATGGGATGCATGGTATGGTCATGGATGGGATGGTATGCATGGGATGCATGGTATGGTCATGGATGAGATGGTATGCATGGGATGCATGGTATGGTCATGGATGAGATGGTATGCATGGGATGCATGGTATGGTCATGGATGGGATGGTATGCATGGAATGCATGACATGGTCATGGATGAGATGGTATGCATGGGATGCATGGTATGGTCATGGATGGGATGGTATGCATGGGATGCATGGTATGGTCATGGATGAGATGGTATGCATGGGATGCATGGCATGGTCATGGATGAGATGGTATGCATGGGATGCATGGTATGGGCATGGATGAGATGGTATGCATGGGATGCATGGTATGGTCATGGATGGGATGGTATGCATGGGATGCATGGTATGGTCATGGATGGGATGGTATGCATGGGATGCATGGTATGGTCATGGATGAGATGGTATGCATGGGATGCATGGCATGGTCATGGATGAGATGGTATGCATGGGATGCATGGTATGGGCATGGATGAGATGGTATGCATGGGATGCATGGTATGGTCATGGATGGGATGGTATGCATGGGATGCATGGTATGGTCATGGATGAGATGGTATGCATGGGATGCATGGCATGGTCATGGATGAGATGGTATGCATGGGATGCATGGTATGGTCATGGATGAGATGGTATGCATGGGATGCATGGTATGGTCATGGATGGGATGGTATGCATGGGATGCATGGTATGGTCATGGATGAGATGGTATGCATGGGATGCATGGTATGGTCATGGATGAGATGGTATGCATGGGATGCATGGTATGGTCATGGATGGGATGGTATGCATGGGATGCATGGTATGGTCATGGATGAGATGGTATGCATGGGATGCATGGTATGGTCATGGATGAGATGGTATGCATGGGATGCATGGTATGGTCATGGATGAGATGGTATGCATGGGATGCATGGTATGGTCATGGATGGGATGGTATGCATGGGATGCATGGTATGGTCATGGATGAGATGGTATGCATGGGATGCATGGTATGGTCATGGATGGGATGGTATGCATGGAATGCATGACATGGTCATGGATGAGATGGTATGCATGGGATGCATGGTATGGTCATGGATGGGATGGTATGCATGGGATGCATGGTATGGTCATGGATGAGATGGTATGCATGGGATGCATGGTATGGTCATGGATGAGATGGTATGCATGGGATGCATGACATGGTCATGAATGGGATTACTTATTCTGTTCAGGAGCATTGTATGATGCCATGGCATCCATGTTCATACCAAACCCGAAACTTGTTGTTTCTCTCCTTTCCCCCATCCCAGGACCATGGTGCATGTGAGTGAGGGGGGCGGTGAGTGGGGCGGGTGCAGCATAGTGCATGGGAGAGCATCCCTTTCTCTTCCCCCTTTCTCTTCCCCCTTTCTCTTCCCCCTTTCTCTTCCCCCTTCCTCCCCCAATTCGCCTGTCCCCTGCTTCCCCTCTCCTCCCTCTGACATTCAGGACCATGGTGCATGTGGGGGGGGCAATGAGGGGAGCAGGGGCGGACCAGTTGACTTGCCTCGTGCGCAGCATAGTGCGTGTGAGGGCATCTCCATCAGTGATACACCTCGTACCCGCTATAGGCCTCCTGCTCGACCACGAGGTATGGTTTTGGATTGCCTTAACGAGTGCTGCTGCTGCTGCTCCTAGTTATTCACCTCCAACTTCGTCCTTTGAGGGTGCTGGTTCTGCCTTTGACTTTCCCCGTCGCTCCCACGTCATGACGCTTCAGGCCTTTGCTCCGCTGCACCTGCCACCCTGAAACCCCCTCCTTCCCCATTCAATTTCCCACAGCTGATCCGTCGTGGATCCGCCTTGATTTCGCCCATCGCTCCCACGCCATGAGGCTCGAGGCCTTTGCGCCGCTGCACCTCTCACCCCCCACCCCATTCGCTTTCCTTCCCCTTCTAATCCCACACAGCTCATTCGTCGTGAATCCGCTTTTGACTTCGCCCATCGCTCCCACGCCATGAGGCTAGAGGCCTTTGCTCTGCTGCGCCTGCTACCCCCCGCCCCCTCCCTTCCTTCCCCCTCCATTCAACCCCCCTGCAGCTTATCCGTCGTGGCTCTGCATTCGACTTCACCCATCGCTCCCACGCCATGAGCCTCGAGGCCTTTGCTCCGCTGCACCTCTCACCCCCCACCCCATTCGCTTTCCTTCCCCCTTTAATCCCCCACAGCTCATCCGTCGGGGCTCTGCATTCGACTTCGCCCATCGCTCCCACGCCATGCGGCTAGAGGCCTTTGCGCCGCTGCGCCTGCCAAGGCAGCATGCAGTGAGCGACGCGCAGCCGCTGCCCTCGCTGGCCGGGCTGCATGTGGTGGAGGTGACAGCTGCCGCTGCTGCTGAGACCTACTCAGAGACTGCTGCTGCTCTCAACTCATTCGCCGAGCTAATCGCTCCGTGAGTCGTTTCTGGGTGTTGGGTTACTTTTCAATGGTCTGTGTGCGTTGTGCGTGACGCGTACCCTGCCGCTGCCCTCTCTTGCCGGGCTGCATGTGGTGGAGGTCACAGCTGCCGCTGCCGCCGAGACTTACACGGAGACCGCTGCTGACCTTAGTTCATTCGCTGACCTTAGTTCATTCACTGTCCTTAGTTCATTCGCTGTCCGTAGTTCATTCGCTGTCCTTAGTTCATTCGCTGTCCTTAGTTCATTCGCTGACCTTATAGCCCTGTAGGTTGTTTTCGGTATGATTGCATTATAGAGGTCGCCTAGCCACTGCCCGCTGCCCTCCCTGGCCGGGCTGCATGTGGTGGAGGTGACAGCTGCTGCTGCTGCTGCTGCTGCTGCTGCTGCATGCACTTTCCCAACCCAACCCCCCTGTTCCTCCTCTCCCCCTTGCTATTCCCTTCAGTGTACCTTAGTATGTCCCCTGCTGCTGCTTCAACTGCAGCTACTGATTTCCATCCTCACCCCAACCCCCATGCCCCCACCCTTTCCCCCCCCGCTCCCATTGGTTACCCCAGTTTGGTTCGTCTATCAAAGCCCACCATCTCTGCTGGTCTCTCGCCTGCTGCTGCTTCAACTGCCGCTTCTGTTTTCCATCCTTCACCACACCCCACATGCCCCATCCTCCCATTCTTTCCCCCCCTGCTCCCCCTTGGTTACCTCAGTTTGCTTCGACTATCAAAGCCCACCATCTCTACTGGTCTCTCTCCTGCTGCTGCTTCAACTGCTGCTGCAGTTTGCCCTGCCTAGGTTTGTGCTGCAGGAATATACATTCGGTTTTGCACAATGTAAACCCTTGTTATTGATCATTTCTCAAAAAAAAAAAAACAAGAGGCGACGAAATCGTCTTAGGGTTGCGAAGCGTTTTGCGTAATTACATAAATTTGTACAAACTCTCTTCTGTACATCATGCTGTAGTATGACACTAAGTGGTACTTCATCTCACTTTGCAAAGATTCAGAAAATCGCATCAGCAGGAATCGAACTGGTGGCCTTTCGATTCCGCATCTTTCGTCACACGACTACGACAGCACCGATGTTCTGTTTTAACTACAGATGTTATAGGACCTAAACCTTTGCGACGAATCTGGGAGGGCTTGCTCGTCCCTTTTTTCTCCCGCTCCTTCTCCTCGCTAGTTGAGCTCCCCGCCAGACACGCTCCACCTACTAGTCCAAGGTAAGAACTACCCTAACCTCTCATTTTGAGCCAAATCAGATCATTAGAAGCTAGACTACCATTTCTTAGTCTCATATCGTAGTTGTTTAACATAGTATTGGCCGCATGTTGTTTAAGGCTTAGGTTCTAGGATTGTTGTAGATACTTTAGCTTTAGGGCTTTCACTAGATTGCATCCATTCTTCTACTATTCATCGTCTCTTTCCTGTTTTGCATGCTTACAACCTCGTATTTGCATATTTCATTGACGTTTTTACTTCCTTTCTTCTTATGTTCTTGTTATGTCGATTTGAACGCTAACCTTCTTTTCCTTGATAGCCAGATAAATATAAACCATTTCGACCCGAGCAACATGTCGTTCTCTCTCTCTCGTCCTACCTCTCTCGTTCTCTCGTTCTCTCTCTCTCTTTCATTCTCGTTCTATCTCTCTCGTTCTCTCGTTCTTTCTCTCTCTCTCTCGTTCTCTCTCTCGTTCTCTCTCTCTCTCTCTCGTTCTCTCGTTCTCGTTCTCTCGTTCTCGTTCTCTCGTTCTCTCTCTCTCGTTCTCTCTCGTTCTCGTTCTCTCGTTCTCTCTCTCCTTCGTTCTCTCTCTCTCGTTCTCTCTCTCTCTATCGTTCTCTCTCTCTGGTTCTCTCTCTCTCGTTCTCTCTCTCTCTCGTTCGTTCTCTCTCTCTCTCGTTCTCTCTCTCGTTCTCTCTCTCGTTCTCTCTCTCGTTCTCTCTCTCGTTCTCTCTCTCGTTCTCTCTCTCTCTCTCTCTCTCTCTCTCTCTCTCTCTCTCTCTCTCTCTCTCTCTCGTTCTCTCTTTCTGGTTCTCTCTCTCTCGTTCTCTCTCTCTCTCGTTCGTTCTCTCTCTCTCGTTCTCTCTCTCGTTCTCTCTCTCTCTCGTTCTCTCTCTCTCGTTCTCTCGTTCTCTGTCACGTTTTCTCTCTCTCGTTCTCTCTCGTTCGTTCTCTCTCTCTTGTTCTCTCTCTCTCGTTCTATCTCTCTCGTTCTCGTTCGTCCTCTCTCTCTCGTCCTCTCTCTCTCGTCCTCTCTCTTTCGTCCTCTCTCTCTCTCTCTCTCTCTCTCTCTCTCTCTCTCTCTCTCTCTCTCTCTCTCTCTCTCTCTCTCGCTCTCGCTCTCGCTCTCCCTCTCCCTCTCCGTTGTATATCGTCGTTTCCTGTTTTATTCCTTGCTCTGTTTTTTTGGTTCTGTTTTTTTAATGTATATCGTTCTTCATCATTTTTTTTCCTTACCACCATTTGCTTGCATTCTGTTTGGTTACTATGTTCTTCTCCTCATCTGCCTTGCTTTCTTTTCTATTTTCTCCACACTTTGATATTTTTTTTCTTCTCTCCCCTCTTCCTTTTTGTCCCTCTCCTTCATCACTTTCAGTGTCATTTCTCTCCTATCCTCCCTTGTTTTGCTTTCCCATTTCCTCTACATCGAATATCATATTGCACCTTTCAGAAAGCCAAGTTCAGTCTGCAAAGTGGGAAGAGTAGTGGTGCTTTGCAGAATTCATTTTTATTATATTTGTTGATTTTGTTTTGCACCTTCTATTGTTATTGTTTTGACTTTGTTCTGGTGTGAGTTGGGGTTTCTGTGTGTGTGTGTGTATTCATCTATACTCATTCACTCATTTCATTGACAATGCATGTCTGTGGGTCTTAAAAACTTGATCAGCCTATCATTTCCAAGAACGTTCTTTGCGCACTCAGTGAGTGTGTCCACTTGAACGGGATTTGATAGAACTGATCATTTTTTTGGGATACACAGATTGTGTTGCATTCATGTGATAGTTGTATGACTTAAATGCTAGGCTATTGACTTCCCCCCCATGCTAGGCAGGGGATGCGGTAGCCTACCGGTAGTTGTTTAGGTCTTATAACTATCATGCATTTCTATCATTTAATGGCATACATACTACAGTAACATGTACCATACTATTATGCATTCTACTACGCATCACCTTCATGCATTATGCAATCATTATTTAAAACCATCATACTAATATACGCATTGCTGGATTCACATCCACAAAGTAGGCAAAAGGTTAACACACAGACGGAACGGAGCACATGGCCACATACGTATCACAACAAGTATAGAGAAGTAGTTCTCGTTGATTTTTTTCATATTTTAATTTTACAAAATATGAAAAAAAAAATTGAACATTGTTGGGCTGAAAAAACCTTAGGATCTTTGCAGGGGTGAACTCTGGGTAGAGTTGGTGTAGTAGCGGAAGCGTTAATTAAAGAGTTGTGAACCACCTTGCGCTAGTATGTGAGGGCAAAGTAAGTTGATTAAAACAAAGAGATACAAGCTTTTATAAGAGTACAAGGAATACGAAGAGATACAGTTAATAACCGTTTTACTATTGCTGTTGCGGTTCGATACAGTGACGACTCGGGCAACTGCTCAATACCGAGTCAGTTGTTTGTCCTTGCTGTCGCGCTGTACTTTGTCAGGTCAAAGGTCGCTGACCTTTGACTTTCGCGTAACCTCCAACAGTTACTTTCAACCTCCGAGGGTTGACTCGCCGGTGATTCGTTATACTTCGTTTCTTTTGTGTCTTAGTGTTTCGACACGACAGAGGCGCTTAGGACCGATTGTTTCCAACACTCCCCTTCGCTTCTGGAGTGTCGCTGACGTGGCTCTGTCCAGTCAGCAGCATGCAGTATTCGAACTTCTGCTTTCCGAGCTTCTTGGTCAGGTAGTCAGCTGCCATCTCGGACGTGGGACAGTATGACAGCTCGAGCCTTCCCTTCTCGATCTCGTCCTTCACGAAGAAATATCGCAGGGCGATGTGTTTCGTCCTGTTCGCGAAGCCGTTCTTGTTGGCGATGCGAATTGCCGACTGGTTGTCGCAGAACAGGGTAAAGTTGGGTAACTCGGCTAACTTCGCTTCTTCCAGCAGCTCGCGAAGATAGAGTCCTTCCTTGGTGGCTGAGCAGAGTGCAATATATTCTGCTTCAGCTGACAAGAGAGCAATTAATTCCTGCTTGCTCGACTGCCAAGAGATAGGTCCGATAGGTTCGAGGCGGTAGATGTAGCCGGTGCGGGAGCGCCTATTGTCGGAGTCGCCAGCGTGATCAGCGTCGACGTAGCCGATTAACTTAGTCGGTGTGGTTGCGTTCTTGTAGTAAGTTAGGCCGATCGTTGGGGTGCTGACGAAGTAGTGAAGAGCGCGGTCGAGCCCCGCCAGATGTTCTGCTTCAGGCTTCTTGAGGTAGGTGGCGAGCAGGCTTGCGGAGTATGAGAGGTCGGGGCGACAGGTGACGGCTGCGAAGAGAAGACATCCCAGCTTCTTCTGGTAGTCTCGTATGCCGGCGGGCTTGAGTAGAGCGGAGCTTCCTTTGTCGTTCCCTGCCGTGTAGCGGTATGGCGTGGAGATGGCTGTCGGTGTGAGCGTAAAGCGTATGGCGATGGTGTCGGCATATTTCTCGGCGCTGAGGTAGATCGCGTCCTTCTCTTCCCGGATGTTGAAGCCGAGGTACTGAGTGACGGTAGATGAAACTGTGAGCGTGAGATCTCGCTGCAGCTCCCCTTCGAACCAGGTAGTGATGCCGTCATTTGAGCCGATGTAAAGGAGATCGTCCACGTAGACGATTAGTAGGATGTAGTCGTCGTTTTTTGTGAGCCGGTACATGCCTTGATCGTGCGGTAGTTGCTTGAAGCCGATGCGGATGAGGCGAGCGTGCAGGTACTGTTGCCACAGTCGCGGAGCCTGCTTGATGCCGTAGAGTGACTTGAGTAGCTGGCAGACTTGGTTGGGTTCTCTGTGGGAGCCGTGCGGTAG